GAATTTTTCATTCTTCATTGCATTTCCTCTCTACAAACTCATAAAGAAAAACAGAGTCGTGTGACTTCTCTCCGATCGTTGCGTTCGTCGGATTCTGGTGTTTCTAGTACCGGTACAGCCAGAAAAGGTACGTCCGTTCTATCCTGGGAGGCATAGTTCCAATAACTTTGGGTACCGTAGAGGGGAACTAAATTCCTTAAGGAGAAATAATGAATTCTATTGGCTCGGGCGTTGTTTATACATGTGTCGATTTCTATATATGACTTGTGTGGCAAGAAACATACTTTTGTGAAACGTTTTCCATAACAATCTTAAGGAATTTAGTTTGGTAATGATTCTCGTATACTATTTGCTTCACATAGTTGATATAGAAATCTGTTCGTTTTGTAAATCTGTTGATTGGTGCTTAATTGATGATGCAATTTAAATGGATTACCCAATTACTTATGCTTCTGGACTATGGCTTTTGTGTTCGATATATATATATATATTATTTTCTGATTATATATGCCTTGCCTCGTGATTATCAGTGGTTAATAATCAGGGTGTTGTGATTAATGGTTATGAGTGACCGTTACTATTGTTATTATTAATCAATCAACATAATCCTTCTTGCTTGCTTCCGTCGGCTCGGTGATGGAATGTTTATGATCTTTTGTTTGGCTGAAATTGCATGCTTTAGGTCTTCGTTAATATATGTTTGTATTCGAGTCTCGGTTCTGTACTTAATTAATCAAATTGTTTGTTAATTGTCGCCATACTTCACTGAACTTTCTGGTTCAGGTATATATATATATATATATATATATATATATATGGTGGCATCTTCGGTGCACTCACTTTTTTGGGTGCATTCAGTGCACTCGCTTCATAATCGTCATTTTAAACATGAGATTTGTGTCAAAATGATGTCAATCATCACTTATGATGTGATGAACAATAACGCACATGAATTTGCACAAAAACCATGAAAGATTTGCTTTAATTTGAAAGATTTAGAGTTTAAAGATCTAGGGTTAGGGTTAGGGTTTACAGTTTGGGGTTTAGGGATAGAACTCAAAATTGGAGTTCTAGGGCTTAGGGTAATCCGCTAATTAGTTGTTATCATATGTTATATCATCATATTATACTAATTCTACAAATTAAAATTCAAAATCCGACTCCTTAAGACTAGTTTTTGAGTTGGGTGCATTGAACGCACTCATTTTTGTGAGTGCGCCGAAGTAGTCACCATATATATATATATATACTCTTGTTTATATATTGATTCTAAATAGTTCTGCCACTATATATATTGTGGATTCTTTCTTCTAATATAATTCTGTTGTGATATATATTGTGGTCATATATAATCATTCTTTCTTTGTAAAGAGTGTGATTTCCTACTGCAGACGAGTATAAACCTCTTCGGTTTTCTACTCGTGGGTATTAGTGATTACTAATACGTGTTGTGGTTTCTATTTCTAGATAAAGGAAATAGTGAAGAACAAAGATGTCTTCTGGTTCTGGAATAAATGGGGAGAACCCAAATCCGGTAACATCAACTCAAAGTACTCCACTTCAAGTTGCTACTCACTCGCTTGCACCGGCGGAGAAACCCGACAAGTTTTCCGGTGTAGATTTCAAGCGTTGGCAACAAAAGATGTATTTCTATCTCACTACTTTGGGACTTCAAAAGTTCATCAAAGAAGAGATCCCAAATCCTAACGAGGAAGTGCCATAGAAAGATAGATTTCTTGCAGTTGAAGCTTGGAAACATTCTGACTTCCTTTGCAAGAATTATGTTCTAAATGGTCTAGATGACATTTTGTACAATGTCTATAGCACCATAGGGACCTCTAAGGAATTATGGGGGGCTCTAGAGAAGAAATACAAGGCCGAAGATGCAGGATTGAAGAAATCCATTGCGGCTAAGTTTTTGGAGTATAAGATGGTTGATTCCAAGACCGTTGTGACGCAAGTCCAAGAGCTTCAGGTAATTACTCATGATCTTCTTAATGAAGGAATGATTATTAACGAAGCTTTTCAAGTTGCTTCCTTCATAGAGAAGTTGCCTCCCGCATGGAAGGACTTCAAGAGTTACCTAAAGCACAAGCGTAAGGAGATGACGCTTGAGGACCTAATTGTCCGTCTAAAAATTGAAGAGGACAATAGGTTGGCCGAGAAGAAGAGCCGTGGACAATCAACCATATCTGGTGCAAACATTGTGGAGAGTGACTCCGAGGGAAAGAAGAGGAAGAGAGACTCTGTTCCAAGTTCTTCCGGCACAAAGAACCACAATGGTAACAAGAAGATTAATGGTACTTGTTTCAAGTGTGGGAAACAAGGGCATAAAGCCTCGATGTGCAAGACCCACAAGAAGAAGAAGAACAAAGGTCAAGCTAATATTGTTGATGATATGGATATGGATGACCTTTGTGCCGTTCTTTCTGAATGTAACTTGGTAGGGAATCCAAGAGAATGGTGGATAGACTCTGGAGCTACCCGCCATGTTTGTGCAGTCAAAGAGATGTTCACTTCCTACTCTTTGGCTAAGGCGGAGGAGAAATTATTCATGGGAAACTCCTCCACGGCCAAGGTCGAGGGATATGGAAAGATTGTCTTGAAGATGACATCGGGCAAGGTTGTGACCCTCAACAACGTCCTCCATGTACCGGAAATTCGCAAGAATTTGGTGTCTACCTCGCTTCTTGTCAAGCACGGATTCAAGGTTGTGTTTGTTTCCGATAAGGTTGTAATTAGCAAGAATGATGTGTATATAGGAAAAGGTTATCTTAATAATGACCTTTTCAAGCTCAATGTAATTACCGTGAACGATGCTATTAATAATAATAACGCTTCTTCCGCGTATTTACTTGAGTCAAATCATTTGTGGCATGCCCGTTTGGGACATGTGAATTACAAATCCTTACGGAAAATGATAAACATGGAAGTGTTGCCCAAGTTCGAATGCAATAAATCTAAATGTCAAGTATGTGTGGAATCAAAGTTTGCGAAACATCCCTACAAGTCGATTGAAAGAACTTCTGAACCATTGGACTTGATTCACACTGACATTTGTGACATGAAGTCGACACCATCTCGAGGTGGGAAAAAGTACTTCATAACATTTATCGACGATAGCACTAGATATTGCTATGTATATTTGCTAAGTAGCAAAGATGAAGCGATTGATGCATTCAAACAATTCAAAGCAGAAGTTGAGAACCAACTCAACAAGAAAATAAAAATGGTCAGAAGTGATAGAGGTGGTGAATATGAATTTCCATTTGAAGAAATATGTCTAGAAAATGGAATTATTCACCAAACATCGACTCCATATACCCCACAACAAAATGGAGTTGCGGAAAGGAAGAACAGAACTTTGAAGGACATGATGAATGCTTTACTCCTAAATTCGGGTTTACCTCAGAATTTGTGGGGGGAAGCTATTCTTACTGCTACAAAAATACTCAATAGAGTACCGTACAGTAAGACGCAGACCATTCCGTATGAAAAATGGAAAGGTAAAAGACCAAACTTGAATTACTTCAAAGTGTGGGGGTGTTTGGCAAAGGTTCGAGTTCCAAAACCGAAACAGGTCAAATTGGGACCTAAAGCGATAGATTGCATCTTTATTGGTTATGCCAATAATAGCAAAGCATATAGATTTTTGGTCTATAAATCACAAATCTCTGACATCCATCCTAATACGGTTATAGAATCTGATAGTGCAGAGTTCTTTGAGAACATATTTCCGTATAGGAATAAGGATGTAGTCGTTGGAGAAAGCTCCAAGCGACCTCGGGATGATTCATTGGAAAATGATTCCAATATTGATGAGCCACGGCGTAGTAAACGTCAAAGGGTGCCTACGTCATTCGGTCCCGACTTCTTAACGTTTTTGTTGGAAGATGAGCCAAAGACATTTAAAGAAGCGATGAAGTCTTCTGAAGCTCAATATTGGTTGGAGGCTGTCAATAGTGAAATTGAGTCCATTTTGAATAACCACACATGGGATTTGGTGGATCTTCCTCCCGGTTGCATACCATTGGGATATAAATGGATCTTCAAAAGGAAGTTGAAAGATGATGATACTATTGACAAGTACAAGGCAAGACTTGTGGTCCAAGGATTTAGACAAAAGGAAGGCCTTGACTATTTTGATACATACGCCCCAGTCACAAGAATTACATCTATTCGGATGCTAATTGCTTTGGCTGCCGTGTATGGTCTACAAATCCATCAAATGGATGTAAAAACGACCTTTCTAAATGGCGACCTGGAGGAAGAAATCTACATGAAACAGCCAGAGGGGTTCGTTGTCCCTCGACAAGAACATAAGGTGTGTAGATTGGTGAAGTCCCTATATGGACTTAAACAAGCACCCAAACAATGGCATGCTACCAGGCGGAGCCGCTTCAAGGAGAATAAAAGAAGGCCAATTCTCTACGCACTCATGAAACCAGGCGGTGTTCATGGCTGAAATGAACACAACAATGAGAACCAACGAGCGGATAAGAGTTGGTTGTGTGACATATGTTGTCTTAGTATACAAGAAAAATCGACGGTTCAAAGATATCATTTCTACCGATTGGTGAGTATACTCGATATATGTTCACTAGGGAAGGTTCAAAGGGAAACCCACCTATCCTAATACAACTAATTCTTTGTTGAGAGTCACACAGTTTTTTGCATAGTTTTCAAAACTTAGCATTCACTTTCATGTGGGGGATTGTTGGGATTTGAAAGGTGTGAATGAGAATGAAAAGGGGAAGAAGCCAATAGTTGGTGAGTTATTGGTTAAACCAAGTTGAACCAAATCGGACCGAACCGATGTGGCGGTTGGAATGAACCAACCAGTCCAACTACTAGGGCGAACCGATGCAATGGTTGGGGTGTAACCACCCACTTGAAGGGTCACATCCCTTCACTCGCACCCCTTCATTGTCTTAAATAAACACCTGCCCCCCTCTGTTTTCTACACAAGTTATTTTCCCAAGAAATTTTTCCTGGCCAAAAGATAAAAGAATTTTTCATTCTTCATTGCATTTCCTCTCTACAAACTCATAAAGAAAAACAGAGTCGTGTGACTTCTCTCCGATCGTTGCGTTCGTCGGATTCTGGTGTTTCTAGTACCGGTACAGCCAGAAAAGGTACGTCCGTTCTATCCTGGGAGGAATAGTTCCAATAACTTTGGGTACCGTAGAGGGGAACTAAATTCCTTAAGGAGAAATAATGAATTCTATTGGCTCGGGCGTTGTTTATACATGTGTCGATTTCTATATATGACTTGTGTGGCAAGAAACATACTTTTGTGAAACGTTTTCCATAACACAACATTCGCCCAGTATTTCATAAACTTTGACATCATCTGAATGTCACATACCTGTAAGCATAGTATCATCAATTGCCGGCAGATGAACCATTTCATCTTGCAAAGCAATTAGCTCATGAAAGAAAAAGCTAGAAGTACACTCAATTTGCTGGAAATTTTCAAGGTGACCATATAAAACGCTTGATGCAAATCTTCTCAATTCACATGCTGACTGCCGAAAGCAAACGCTTATCAGCTCAATTTTGATATATTACAGAACTATATACGCCAGTTACAGAACTTCCAAGCCAAAAATACAACAATCTGATGCTACGTTTGTGTCGCAGCTGTTTTGCTTTTAGGTTTTACCATGGAATGATTTGGTAGCTCTGGAGGCAAGAGCTATAGCCTTGGCGTTCGTGCTACTCATCAACATCTCCCGCTCAGCACGACGCTGATGCTGCCTGGCATTCTTTGCTCGCTTGGGGGCCAACCTTGTGTCTCTTTCGACAAATGCAAGTCTGAATCTTTCGGCCATCGACAGCTCAATCTCGGTGTTCTCTGAAACACTTGGTGACACAGATCTCGGCACAAAACCACCTACAGCCCAAGTGGTCGGATTAATATCCTTCACAACTGAATTGTCCAATGGAATGTCTGCACATGCTTCAAGGGGGACCTCGAGTCCACGGAAACCCAAAGGTGATGGCTTGGGATTGACTATGATGCGTGGGCATTCAGCAGCTAGAGTTTCTTGCGAATTTTTATCAATCATTGGCTGTAAAGCAGAAAGCAAAATGGAATTTCAGTCATGCAAAAGATAGACAGGCAGAGCAGCAATTTTATCCTATTTCAGGCACCAGGAAAGATAAAAGTGCATAAAAACGGATGACAATAGGTATACTGCGAGCAACTCCCTACCCAAATAAGCCACCGAAGGGATTCAGCACCATGAGCAATTTCTGCAGCATCAAGTTCCTCCCAAGAATCTCCTTCCAGATCAATCAGTTTTGGCTTCAATACACCCAAGCTACGACGTGCAGTGTAATTGCTCCTTGGGCATCCTCTGCAACATTAACTTTGGTTCAATCCTGTTATAGTTTGTAGTAACCTAGTCAAAAACCTCAACCCTTATCTAGTTCAAGTGCAAACATGCAGGAAGGAAATATAAGGCGAAAAGCCAAAGGGAAAATCCATTTCAAGAGAACCAATAGGGTAGTTATCTAATCTGGATTCTCATTGCATACTGAACTTTAAAGGAGGGCTGAGAGTCAAAGCCATTGATTTACCAATGAAGGAACAAAAGAAAGCATACCCGCATCTCAATGTCTGCAACGACTTGCAGTGCTGTACGAGTTCAGCCACACCAGAACGGGTAATCTGACTGCATCGGCTGCAAAATTAAAGAGTTCCTATTTGAAATAGACCATTTATATGGGAAAGCCATCAACAAGTAGAAAAAGATAAATGCTAGCCACCAATGCGATGACATTAAGACCAGAAGAGCAGTATCATATTGCTCATTGCTCAAAAGTACAGCACAGAAGCTTTGTCCTACCACACACCTTATATCCACAGCCGTGATTTGGCTGCATATTATCGAAACTTCAGCCAAACCGACATCAGTAACATCTGACCCGGAAATGTCAAGAATTTCCCAGGAACTGTCGGCTAACGAAACGATCACATCATCATTCAACAATTTCCGTCGCCGGGCAATCGCTACAATTGCAAGCTGCAATGCAAAGATCATGAACTCATAATTCGTTCCAGCCCAACCTGAAGATAACTTGTTGAATTGAGAAAATTGCTAGCTTAACGTAGCAAATCAAGTAATGCAAGTATGCAACCTTAATATGAGCGGGAAAGCCGACAGATATCTCACTCAACTCTCCAATTACATCATCCAGATGCCTGCCCAGAACTCCCAGACACAAGCTCGCCAAGCTTGGAGGCCTTCCCTTCTGTCTACGAAATCCTACGAAGGAAATCATTTGAGGGATCAGCATGGAACTAAGATTACAAACATGGAAAAACGAAACTTCTGAATTCGGATGCTATGAAGTTCTTCAATTCAAGAGACAGATATAGGTTGGACAAGAGAACTTACTGGAAGGTTGAAGGGTTGGAATGGAACGAGAAGAATTGGGATTCAAGGAGGTGGAAATCAAAGCAAGCTTCTTCAACGACGCTGATACGATTTCCTCCGCAGGTCTTTCCATCAAAGATTCCTCCAGAGAGGAAAGGAGGAGGAGGAGGCGGCGGTAGCAGGTAGGGAAGCTCCGGAAGAGAATTCGGGGGCGGCAGCGCAGGGGAGAACGGAGGGAGATGCCGGTGTCGGAAATTGGGATCCTTTTATCGGGGTCAAATCACAAATGTGATCTTTATGAAGTAACATCAAAGTAGAGGGACTGTGTATGTAATTTACTCGCGAAAGGAAAAATATGCAGGAGGGCATTAGTGTAATTTTAAGTGGTCCCTCAGGCCGGCAAAATGCTAATCTGTCAGTTCCCGAAGTTTTTGAATTTCCTACTCGCTCTCAGTCGCAGCAGAAGCGACGGCTGGCCGGAGCTTCACGAAGGTAAATCGTTTAGGGTTCCGATCCAATGGTGAAGACGCTGCAAGGAGGAGGAGGGAGCCAGAATCTGCCAGCGGATGTGGCGCAGGTGATCGATCAGCTGGAGCGCCACTGTCTGGCCCCCGATGGATCTCTCGTCTCCAAATCTGCCTACTATGACCTTCAACTCGTACTTGCCTCTTCCCCTTCATTTTCTTCATTTCTCTGAAATTCTTCTCTTTTCTGCTGTGCTTGCCAAAAAAATACCAAAAAATGAGACCGCTTTCAGTTTGAGAATCCGTTGATCGGTGGTTCCGTGTCGTTCATTTAGTGGGAATTCTGGCAGAGTTTGATAAGTGAATGGTTGTTATTTTTGCCAGGCGAGAGAAGAGATGGCGAGAGAAAGATTGCGTTACTTGGAAACTATGGTATGGTACATTGCTCCTTCGCCTTTCAATTGGGTTCAGAAATTTTGGATCTTTGAATTTGCTGCCACATATCCGTAATTTGATGTAGGACCGTTCTTAGTAAGGATTCTCATAAATTTTCATTTCTTGCTTCTGTTGCTCTTGGTGGTAATTCAGGCAATTTATTGTGAAGCATCTGCTATGGTGGAAGAGTATCAGCAGGCTGTGTCAAGCCCTAGTCTTGGAGGCATTCGGGACGCCCTGTATCCACAGCTTAGCTTGAAGAGCCACTCCCAGGTGCTCATGTTAGAGTTTTCCCGTTTTATTACTGAGTTGGAGTATGCTTCATTGTGTTCAGTCTATCCCACCAACATTAAGGATCATTTCATTGTGTTATATCGGATTACAGTTCTTGATTTGTTGTTTGCATTCCTTGGACTTAATTTTAGAGAATACGAGGCCCTGATTCTGTTGATCCATGCTTTACGGCTTGCATTTAGAGCCAGAACCAAGAATTTGTATGGATCCATGGTCATTATTAATTCTGTAATTATTTGAAGCAAACGTGACAGTGCCATTTAACTAATATGATGTTTGAAACCTTATAATGTCCATTACTTAGAGGTGATACTAGTATCTTTCGCATAAATTAATGATATGTTATATTCATCACAGGTTTATGAGACTCTAGAGCATCGATTGGTTGTCGCAGAAGCAGCTCAGAAACTGAGGCTTCCTCTTATATCAAAAGATGGTGAGGTTCAGGAGGAAGATATCGAAAAATGGAGTGTGATGTCACGTAGCTCCCTAGATAGTACCGGTACCAGTGCCACAATCAGCTCAAGCTCTAATTCACTATATTATCCAAATAGTACCACAAACAGCGCAGGTGCAATGGGTAGTGCCTTCTCTCCAAGTGTGGGTGACTCATTGGATCCTGGAGTTGGTGGCCTAGCCAATCAGTATCTTGGTATTACCCCTGCCTATCTATGGCAAACTCAGCTCCAACAGATGCCCTTAATGATGGTAAGCTAGTGTATCATATAAAATTTGAGAAATAGATAGTCTTACCTTTGGGTTCGGAAGCTAAATTTCTGATTAACCTGTATGTACACTTTTCTTGTCTGAAAATTTGGGGAACTCTCCAGGACATGGCTGAATATCAGATGTCTTTGTCCCATGAAATTGAGACTCGTTTGAAGGACAAATGTGATAAGTTAGCTGATGCTTTTGTTGATGATATTGGTACGTTATCAAAATTACTATCCCTACTCTCTTTTCCCCATTCTCTACCCCGTCTTACTCAGGTTTCAGTACTTGCCAAAAATCTTTATTTTGTCATCCTTAATGTATGTTTTGTCACATCTGATCAGTTATGTTAACTGCCTAAGTCAAGGATGCTGTAGGGCTAGTTCTTAGTGTAATAGAACTCGTATTCCCTTTATCCGCATATGCGTGTCGATGTATATTCAAAACTCACCCCTTGAATTGATTTTTTCCTCTTTCAGATTCTGCATCTGCTGCTCACAATTCAACAGCTTGGCTTCCAGAGAGGTTTGAATCACTCTGTTGCCATTAGTTTCCTGAGTTATCTCTCTTCTAAGTTTTGGGGCCACTGGATGACCTGTTTGATGGTGGACAACACAACTAACTAGGAATCCATACACTGGTGCAACCTTCTAGTGTCTTTTGTTTGAGCACCTTTAACTAGGATTTTTTAACATTATCAGGGTGAAGTTGATAACTGAGGAAATTGAAAGGGAAGAAGGAGCTCTGAGGGAGGACCTCTATTCCGTTGATCGAAAATTTGCTGAATATTATAATGTATGTCTGCTTTTCTTCAGATAAATTTTTTGTGGGTTCCATGTTCTTCTCTTCGATATTGGAAGCAGTATTCCCTGATGTTGCTTTCACTCCTGCTTATTTCCTTCTTGCCATTGTATCTAACATGTAAACTTGTCTGATGATTTTTTCTTATGAAGGTCTTGGAGCAGATCCTTGGGGTGCTCATTAAGCTTGTCAAAGATTTGAAGTTGCAACACCAGCACAAATATGTAAGCATTTAACTGTTAAAATTTCTCATGAAAGTGTCTTTCTTTAAATATGGTTTGATGTTCCATTAAAAGAAAAGACAGTTTGAAGGCAGTCTCTGTAACAAAAACCTATTTTTTACCTAAGTTGGATTGATTTCTACGGACTCTTATCTTATTGTTGTACAGGATGAACTACAAACGACTTGGTTGTGCAAGAGGTGTGAGACAATGGACGCAAAGCTAAGGTTTGTTGCCACTTGTGCCATTTATTCTGGCCTGTCACAACAGAGAAGCTGACCAATGCACTTGGCAGTTAGCGGCCATAAAACTTGATCAAGTGCTGATTTTGTTCTTCTTAGCTGTAACACGTTTTTAGGGATGCTAGACTTGCTAGTACTAGTATTGATAAGATGTGTCATCCTTTGTTAGTAACTCCTTGAGATGCATGACAACTACAGGGTTCTGGAGCATGTTCTACTACTGGAGACTTATACTCAGGAGTCAATACCAGCACTCCACAAAATAAGGTTTGTGGTGTTGACCTCTTTGATTCTTCAAGATAGATGCATGAAGCGACAGAGATTTCATCTCATCAAGAATGTCAAAACCCCTTGCTCTTGTTTCAGGAAATACCTTATCGAGGCTACCGAAGAGGCTTCTCTTGCATATAACAAAGCGGTTTGTCCCATTACCACTGTCCTTGTCCAGCAGGGAAAGTTGTATAGAAGCTTGCTTCATTTTGCTTCCCTTACCTTAAGCTGTACCAGCATATGTAGCCTGCACATTTTCCTGTTTCCCTGAACCATTTGTTCCCGGTTCCTAAAATCCAATCTAACCTGCATTCCAACATCTTTGTTTTCCAGGCCACACGCCTTCACGAGTACCTAGGTGTTGACCCCCAATTCGACACCATCGCAAGACAATACCAGGAGATAGTCAGGGTAAATCCTTAACCATTCACCTATTTTGCAACTATAGAAACTGTCGTGCACTGGTTTCCCGTGCAAGTAAACCACCACTCCCTTGCACACTGGATGACTTGTGACAAGATAACTCGCTGTATGTTGTAGAAACTGGAGAATTTGCAATGGACAATCCATGAGGTCGAGAAGGACGTGAAGCAGAGCAAGTAAATCCGCCGTGGCCCTGTTCTCGTGCATGGACGTGATTATCTCAATGGTGGTGTACCCAAAGCTCATCTCGCTGTCATCACTCACGTTCTTTCGGCCTTTTTCTGGGATTTCATCATTTTGCTAGTTGTGTACTTATGTTTGTAGTTCGTTGTATATAGTAAACCGCGTGTATACCTGGAGAGTTCCTGAGTTGCTCATCTTGGCATCCTTTTTCCTCAATGTATTTCAAGCATTCATTAGTTTTGTGGCTTTGAAGATATGACACATTCTTTCGGGGCAGGATACTATGACTACCCCAAAAGGGTTGGGTTTTTGACACCCCCTCGTGCAGCTATCCACGTGTCCTTCTTCTTTGGCTAACTACTAATGATTATTGCTTTATTGGGAAGTTGTCATTATTATTGCTTTATTGGGAAAATTCCCATAATAATGATGCATGGGAAAATTCCCATAATAATGATACACGGGAAAACAATAATCTTTCATCTCCCCTTCTCTTCCTTTCAAATTTCTTTCCACCAGAACCCTCTCTCGGCATCTTCTCAGTCCAGCAAAGCCTCCCTCCGGCGGTTCACAACCTCCGTTCCGTCGACCCTCTCCCGTCCCTCTGTTCCCCTCGAGTCTCCTCTCCTACGACATCGACTTCATCACTTCACACGGCCGGAAATCATCAAGATGATTTGGACGATTTCGTCTCTAACGTCGAGCATATGGAAGACGGCGGCAGAGGAAACGCACCAGTGGAGTGGTACGTGTACCAGTGGAGTGGTACGTGTACATCGACTTCATCACTTCACGCAGCCCGAAATCATTAACGTCGAGCATATGGAAGATGGTGGCGCTGCCGTGAAAGTGGAGCCAATTAGAGACGCCGAGGAACACCAAAAAAATCTCAGTAAGGATTTGTATTCATGTCTCGTCGACTTCTCCCGCCCGACAATGTACCAGTGCACTGGTATTTTGTATCATTGAAGCATTAGATATAATGTACTTGTTTTAAAATTGTTGAGGGACAAATTTCTAGATGAAATATCGATGTTCAAACGTTACCATTGCAACATTAGATATAATGTACTTGTACCACTGAACTGATACATGTATCACTAAACTGATACATGTACCACAGAGAGTATGGCATGAGGGAATTTACTGGTATTTGTATCATTGAAGTGGTACTGCATTGTTGCTCCGTTATTGTTTATCATTGTTATGAAAAATATCATTGCACTGGTATTGTTCTCACTCCAACTCGTATTTGCCACTTCTAATGTACCACTTCATTTGTATTTTGTATGGGAGAAATACACTACACGCCACTAAACTATAAGAATTGGGGGAAGGATACTACTAATGTGAAAATAGAGCACCAAATACCATTAAAGTTCCCAAAATATGCATCCATTAAATTCTTCATCAATTTGATTAACCAAATGAATACAATATATTTTTCCACCTCAAGCCTCTTTAACTTTCGTTGAAACTCGACATTAAGAGTTGCTGGACCATAAATATCTTCATTGTCATTGCTCCATTTTGCAAGCTCCCTAATCGCTCTCGCTTGTAGTCCGGAACGTGCTCTACTCCCTGGTCCGTGCGATTTGTCTTTCCTAGCGTGCATCCGACGCCGCTCCACAACTTCTCGAGGAACTCACTGCTCTGACTGAAATCAAAGAAGGTAAAATCAAAAGTCAAACCAATAAATATAACTACTGATAGATGAGATCAACAATAAGACTTTCACTGCAGATATATCAATCCATTGATAGCTCTATCCTAGAAAGCCATTCTAAACATAACTACTACGGTAGTTGTACTTTAAACAACCATAATGATTTTGTTTGTACCACTACAGTGATAGCACTACCCACAAAAACATCACAACGAACTACCACTGCAGCGATAGATCAACAACTGCAGTGATAGATCTACCACTAAAGTGATAGACACAGTATGCCACAAAAACATTCACATGGTTAACTATATCAATGTGGTGATATACTGCAGTCAAATAAACAACACTACATTATCCAAGAATCAACTATCACTGGACTGGTATACTTCCGTACCAGAATAAACAATTTATATCACTCCAATGATAGACATACCAGTACACAGGTACTGATACCACAAGAAAAAATCCAGTTCTCGAAACTCAAAAACACAGATCTGGGTGATGAAAAGACCATTGCACTCGTACTAATACCACACGAAAAACCCATATATATGAGTTTGGGAGAGAGTGCTACCTCATATTCTTTTTCGTCGTCTTCGCCGGAAAGGGGAGGAGGGCCAACGCCGGAAGGGTAGGAGGGTCGTTGTCTTCGCCGGAAAGGTGAGGAGGGTCATCGTCTTCCCTGTCGATCCCTTCGCGTCGATGATCGAAAAGATAGACCTGTGGCGTGAAGTCGGAGGATGGCCGACGGATGGGATGGGCCGCCGATGGTCGTTGAGGAATCGTAAAGGAGGCCGGAAGGGTGATGATTCCGTCGCGGGGAGAGGTTACGTCGGGGGAGGGTTTCCATAGATAGGTTATTGAAAGGGAGATAGGAGGAGACGAGAGGGAGTGATAAAAGGGTGAGGGTTAATTAATTTTGTATTGACCTTGGTAACCATTTTTTCCTCGATACCCAATTTCTTTCCTTTTCAATGTAGGTTATAGAGCAATAATTACGTGATTACTGCTCAATAAATGGATGTTTAATCCTAACCATTCGTTTAACACTAATAAAAATGGATGACATCTAAGTGGGGTGTCAAAAATCAAACCCCTTATGGGATAGTCAGTAGGGATGGCAATTTCGACCTGACCCGATTTACCCGACCTGTTTGACATGTTTTGGGGCGGGTCAAACCCGCCCCGTAGGCGGGGCGGGGCGGGCATGGGTACCTCTCATCGACCCGACCTGCCCTGACCCGGCCCATTCTCGACCCGTTCTTGCCTAAATTACATATAATTAGTTAAATTACTTAAAATTTTCCTCTTATTACATTATATTTTAGCTATAATAAAGTTGTAAATATGTGAAAACCTCAATTTCTTCAATAATTTAACTACATTTTTATCATATTATAGTTTCTTTCTTGGTCTTTCAATGAAAAGAACGAATATTTCTAATGTTTTTCACATAAATTACATACCCAATGGGTCGACCTGCCCCGACTCGCGCCCGTGATAAATTACCCTACCTGCCCCGACCCGCGCCCCGTGATAAATTACCCGACCTGGCCTGACCTGCCATTGGGCTGGTATGGGTATCGAGATACCCGCCTCGGACCTGCCCATTGCCATTCCTAATAGTGGATTAATTCCCTAAATACAGTAATAATTAAAAAAAATTCCCAGAATACCGAACTTTTAAAAAAAAATTTCCAAACTACCAAAGTTTGACACAGTTCGAGTTCACAAAACTCGAACTAGTACCGGATCGACTGCCGAAAACACGATCCACGTGAATCGAGGATGGCAAACTCGAACTACATGAAGTGGATCGATGAGCTGGGCAGCGCTCCACCATTGATCGATGTACTAGGACGCGATAAGGGTCGTTCGATTGCTCAACCAGCGAAGTAGTGATGACCCGGATCGAGTGCGGTAAACTCGAGGTAAGTGGATCGAGTCAGCTCTAATCGATCCAATTGACGCGGATCGATGACGTCAGGCACGCCCCACCGTTGATCGAGTGGTCTAAACTCGATCTAGGCCATTCGATTGTCAAACCCGCGAAGCAGGGATGACGCGGATCGAGTACGTGAAACTTGATGTAGTGGATCGATTTTCCTTTAATCGATCAGTTTGACGCGGATCGCTGATGTCAGGCTCGATCAACCGTTGATCGATTACCCTAAGCTCGATCTGGTTCGTTCGATGCGCCTAACCACGAACTGCTTTTGACGTAGATCGAGTGCCCAAAAATCGATGCACTAGTTCGAGTTTTGTAAACTCGATCCACTCTCCCACAGAACCTATAAATACCCCCCTCATATTCCACCAAAACTCACACCACTCCATTCTTCTTCCTCTCTTCCTCCCACCACTCTTGAAGAAAAAAATATGCTCTGTGGTTGCGGCTAAGCCCGATCTTCCGCATCATATTTTTTTCTATAGTTTGGTACTTCTATCACTCAAAATTGTCGAGATGGATCCGAGTATTTACGATCCTAGATTATACATTCAAGGTGGACCGCGAGAAACCGATTTGTTGGATGAGCAACCTTACCATCGGTCTGAAAGTGTTTAGGTGACAGATCTGGTAGGCACTTCCTCATGTACTTTTTTTTAATGTGATAGTATTCTTATAATTTTTTTTTATAATAATTAATGTTTTTTTTCTACAGGAACAACTTGACGTAATCACCCATCGGTCGCTATCTCGCTTGCCTAAATGGGATGATCGTATCGAGCCCTTCATTGAAAGAGCGCGATTGCTGAGGGTGCGAAAGTTTGTGGGGATGGAGATGGACAACAACCTTCTTACGGCAATGGTGGAAAGATGGAGAAAAGAAACGCACACATTCCACCTTCTAGAGGGAGAGATGACGATTACGTTGAAGGACGTAGCCATGCTAACAGAGCTTCCAATCGATGGTGATGCAATAATAGAAAGTTCACAGAAACCATTGAATGGTTGGGGCCAATTTATAAGCGAGCGTTTAGGTATCATCATCCCAGAGGAAGCAGAAGAAGGTCGTCGTGTACCACCTCTACACAAGTCTATGCTATTGATACCTTGGCTAGTGAGGACCGCTGGGGAATTACCGGAGGATGCCACGGATGCTCAGATAGAGAGGTATGCTCGCATCTACCTTATTTGTTTGGTTGGAAGATTTTTGTTTCCGAACAAGTCTGGTGGAAATATGCATTGTATGTGGCTTCGAGTTCTTTTGGAAGATTGGGAGAAAAAGTTGGGGATCTGCTTGTTTGGCGATGATATATTCGGAGTTGTGCAAGTGTACGGATCTGAAAACAAAGCAAGCGGGTGGTCCCATGTTCATCCTCCAACTATGGGTTTAGGAGCACCTTCCTACTTTCGCTCCGATATGCCCTGCCAACAGTTGGGGTCCCGATGAGCAACTACGACAATGGGATTATGTTGCTAGATGGATTGGAGTTTCACGAGTTTCACCTCTCTAGATGGGTACCGCCAACATCTTGACCGTATGGAATTCAACGAGGTAACATTCTAACTTATGATTATTTATTTTTAATTTATTTGTTGAAGTTATTTGTCTTAGCCCATGATTTATTTTTACGATTATGAATAAGTTTTTATTTGTTGAAATTATTTGTCTTAGTCTTAGCCTATGATTTATTTTTATGATTACGAATTCTATTTTATTTGTTGAAATTATTTGTCTTAGCCCATTATTTATTTTTATGATTATGAATCCTATTTTATTTATTGAAATTATTTGTCTTAGCCCATTATTTATTTTTATGATCATGAATCCTATTTTATTTGTTGAAATTATTTGCCCCGATTTTAATTTATATGTTGTGTTGAAACTTAGGTGGAGTGGGATCCGTATCCGAATAGAGCAAAGGATTTGTACGAGTTGCGATACCCTGAGGATCGCCGACTCTGGTCGTGCAAGTTGCCTGTGATTTGCCACAACATTGCCGAGTGGCACCTCCCGGATAGATGTGTCCGACAATATAATTGGGCGCAACCGATTCCTCTCCCACCACCGGACGTACATAAGTCACTCCACAAGTACAACAAGGATCTGCGGGGTACAATAAGTGATTGGCCAACCAAGCACCGTAGATGGATCGAAATGTGGGAGTCTCGTCAGACGTATGCAATTGATGGGATCCCAATGACGAGGCCAATGGGGTACCAAGATGAATACATGGTTTGGTACAGCAAGTTCACAAAAAGATGGGTAACCAAACGTGGCGCCCTGATCGGTTCATTGGTAAGCACAATATCTATTTACTATAATCACTTTAGCTACACAAATAGTGTTTGACTAACATGTTTATTATTTAGGTTGATGGGTTGGAACTTGCATCAATGACGTTGGAGAATAAACCAGAAGATGATGTGCCAGGGGAGAAAATTTCATTCTTGAAGAAGCTCTTCAAGAATCTCTTGTCATGTTCGCGGGAAATCCGAAGGGATGTCATTGCACGTCCTTCCTCCCACGCCATTGAAGTTGAATCTCTCCCGCCATCACCACCAAGGAGGAGTAAACGTCGGCAAGAGCCCGTTACAGTCCCTGTGAATGTACGAGAAGATGTGGCACTTCCTGACCCATATGAGTATGGATTCCCTCCCGCCAGAAGGGAATTCGGAGAGGGATCATCAGGTTCTGCTCAAGGAGGGGGAGGAGGAGCCTACTATTCACCGTATGGTCATCAATTTCAAACCCCGCATCAAAGCTTCCAGACTCCGATTCCAAATGTTTATTATGGTCCTCCAGCCACTGCAACCCCACCTCCATTGCCACGAAATACTGGAATTGGATATGGAGTTCGTTCAAGGAATAGACGTCGAAGGGAGGGACGCGGACGTGGAGCACAAGAGTGAGGTGTTCTTTAGAGTTGTTAAGTTGTTCTATTTCTTTAGAGTTGTTAAGTGGTTCTATTTCTAATGACGTTGTTCTATTTCTTTAGAGTTGTTTAGTTGTTCTATTTCTTTAGAGTTGTTAAGGTGTTCTATTTCAAATGACGTTGTTAATTTGTTTTATTTCTCATGCATTGTTAAGTTGTTCTATTTCACAACATAAAGTTTTTAAATCACAACATAAAATTCAAATTACAACATAAAGTTCTTAAATCACACCATAAAATTCAAATTACAACACAAAGTTCTTAAATCACGCCATAAAATTCAAATTACAACACAAAGTTCTTAAATCACGCCATAAAATTCAAATTACAACATAAAGTTCTTAAATCACACCATAAAATTCAAATTACAACATAAAGTTTCAATTATCAGTCGATGGCCCTGGACACTAGCGCCTATCATGCCCTTCAACTCGACATGCAGAGCACTTCTTCGGGCGGCGTTGGTGTGTCCTTGATCTATCCATTTCATTTGCAATTCGGTTAACTCTAGGTCGACCTTTGGTACGCTTCAAGTGCTCGGGAGGGTACACTACAGGTCCATCATACTGGGGCCAATATGCTTCATGAGCCAAGGGAAAGAACGACCCTTCCCAAACTCTGACCACGTATGGAGTCTTGTAGTATGGACTAACAAATATCAACGGGTCCAAATTAACGCTTCTCGCAGCTGCATATGCATGAGAGCAAGGCAGGTGTCTCCCTTGAAACTTCCCACAAGTACACTCTCCAATTCCATTCTTTGCATCCAGTATAACTGTTTGAGCATTACCACCCTTTGAACTATCTGGTCCACTTCCTGTTACTACTGCGAAGCGGGAATCTCTTCGACTAAATAAAGTCACCTTATGCCATTTTGCCCTTTCTGACCATGGTTTCATATCATCCGTAATCTTCTTTGGGATGTAGATTCCAGCATTCAACATCTGATATGCTGCTTGGTAGCATTCAACGAACCATGTCACCGTACGAAAGAAGGCATGCAAGACTATAGATGAGATAGGCATTGCACGAAGACCAACATACAAACCATTGAGGCACTCACCCATATTCGTTGTTGTTATTCCATACCTATACCCTTCGTCTTGATGTAACGTCCACCTCTCATAAGGATGAGTTTCTAGCCAATCTGCACCTTCAGAGTGGACCTCCCTTATGCTCTTCATTTTGTCTACAAACTTTCTAGTCTGAAAAGCAATAGCTACAATAAAGCAAAATAAGGTTAGTAAAGGAGTATACGCATTCAACCAATTGATATAATCACAACATCTTATTTGTTCTTACCAGCGTGCCAAACTGCACGTTGTCCATAAGTTCTACCAAAGTGCTTCCCGTAATTGCTTTTGAAATGTCGTATGCACCAGCGCCACTTCCACCCTAGCTCCTCGGGCAGGTCGTAGAAAGCATGTGCAATTCCATGGTGTCGATCAGAAAGTATGGCAATGTCCTTCCGTTGAGTGACACGAGTGTATAGTTGGGAAAAAAACCATGCCCAACTTAAGTTGTTCTCCGATTCGACTATAGCAAAAGAAAGGGGGAAAAGTTGCATACTGCCATCAACACTAGTGGCAACGAGTAGAGTGCCCTTGTATTTTCCGGTCAGAAAGGTCCCATCAACTTGGATTATTGGCAGACAATGGGTGAAACCATCAATGCATGGTTTGAATGCCCAAAATAGTCGCTTAAACACGCGTTTAGCACCCCCATAGAAATCTTCGTAACTAGGCACAAAAACAGACCCAGGATTCTTGTCCTCCATTGCAAGAATCAAACGAGGCATGTTAGCAAATGACTCTTCCCAATCACCATACACCTCTGCCATAGCTTTTTGCTTCCCATGCCATGCTTTCTTGTAACTGATGGTATAGCCATGTCGATTCTTCACTTCAGCGATGACACTCTTCACGGTGATCCCAGGTTGTGCCTCAATCAGATGTTTGATTGTTTGTGGAACCTTCCTTGCACTCAATTGTCGGTGATCTAGAGAAATCAGTGACGACCTATGATGACTCGGTATTTGCACATGTTTTCCCCTTTGTTTCTTGATTGTTTGAGCTTGAATTATCGTGTCTTTGGCCTATTTTACGCTAGGTTGTGTTCCTTTGTCACATTTCAGGTCCTAGCACAAAAAGTGAAGCATAGGCGCAAGATTCAAGTCAATCAGAGATCAATTGACGATTCGGGAGAAGAAACTTGGGTATGACCTGAAGAAGAATGGATTTCTACCTCAGTTTATGGACAAATAATCATGCAAGCTTATCATGAAAAGAAAGAGGACGGGACTACGAGTGTCTGGGATCAAACGGCAACTGATTCGGAGTCCGGACGAGGGAGAAACGAAGCATTAAACAGAGGCTGAGCAAGCCACACGGGCACAACCCACACGGCCGTGTGACCTGGCCATGTGGCCGTGTGGAAATCACCGAGCCTTCACACGGGCAGCTGGGAAAGCCACACGGCCGTGTGGCCTGGCCGTGTGAGTCGGGAATTGCTGTTTAAAACCCGATTTTCAGCAAAAGGAAAGGGGGAGAGCTGGGTTTTGGATCCCAAACACCCAAGGGACGAACCCTAGAGAGAGAGAGCGACTTGGGAACGTTCTTGGAGCTATTTTGGAGGATTTCTTCGCCATTGAAGCTCGGGAATCAAGCTTGGAGATGGAGATTGAAGATCTAGATCAGATTTCTGCAGTCTCTCTCTTCTCTATGGAGTAACTTCCTTTCACTTAGGTTTTGAGGAACCCTAGTTCCATGAGTTAGGATCTTTCTTGTATGAAGTTTTGGATGCTTTATTGTTTGATTATAATCGAATGATGCATGTTTATTGAGTCAATTGAAGTCTGATAAACTTTTCCTGATTCCTGCTGCAATCTGAGATAGATAGAATCTGATTAGGTTGCTAGAGTCTCATCATTCGGTAGTAGGAGATTGGCTATACGAGAGTTAGCCAGTTTACTGCTTTGTACTGGAATCCAATTCCAGTAGTGGAGTTCTGTGCTTATTGCTTCAGCTTTCTATCCCGGTGAAGACTAGTCGTCTGCCGGATAGTTCGACTGAGAGGGTTTGGTCAGCTTAAGAGATTCCAAGCTACTGTCGGATCTTCCGCAGTTTAATCAACAGTAAAACAACCAAAAGGAATTACAACTTGGACCTAATTGAGGAGCTAGGGGGAATCATACCTAAGTGAGTTCCCAAACTGTAATTAGTAGTTTTACTTAGTTTAGTTAGTAGAGTAGTTTGGTTAATCAATCCTTAATCTAGTTTGCTAGATAATGAACTGAAGCTGAGTAATAGTAACTCTAGAGACCCGTGGATTCGATATTTATTACTTGTGCCACTATACTGCAGTCTCTTTCATTGGTTACACTTGGCCATTGTTAGGTGTTGTGTTTTAGCGTGTCAAGTTTTTGGCGCCGTTGCCGGGGACTTTCTAGAGTATTAGGAAAGGCAGAAGTTTGTTACTTTAGCGTTTTTCTTTTCTTTTCTTTTCCACCCTTGCTTTTCACTTGGGTGTTTTTGTTTTTGTTGGTGCAGATCTGAATCATGGATCCTAATGGCTTCTCCAATCATTGGGGGTATCCACCACCATCCGGGTGGTATTACCCCGCGACTCCCTACAGCAATCAAGGAGGAGAAGACTATGGATTCGGGTTCCAGTACCAACCCCCTTACTACGGAGAACAATCAGACCCCTGGGCATATCAAGAACAACCTAATTACCAAGAAGACTTTCTCCCACAACTAGAAGGGCCATCGGAGATGGAGTTACCCATGGCGGCCTTCACGGGCCACTCTGCAGAGCCATGCTACACTTCACTGGAGGATCCGAACGAACAATTAAGGCTTCTCGTGGAGCAGTTTGCTCGAGACACTGAGAAATCATGCTCTAAGATGGATCTTCAAATCAAAGCCCTTGCCACTTCTGATCCCTCATTTCTCCATGATATGGAGGAGACTGTTCAGCGCTCAGCGAAGCAAACAGAGTGGGTGAAGCAAGTTTGCTCACATCTTGCTCAAGATCACTTTTCTGCTGCCACGCTAGAAGAGGTGGAGGATGACAAAGGCTATGGGAGCGTTGAGGAGCATACAGAAGTTATCACAAAGAACTCCCATGATAACCATGATCAGGAAAGTCCTTTGGTTGCAGACCACACCTTTCCTCATTTATGCTCTAACATGATGGGCCCGTGCGAGGAGATGCAAGATGATCCCATTGAAGAAATTGCTTGGCGACTTGCTCTCCAATCTGTTCTAGAAGAAGAAGAGCGAGCAAGGATGAGGAAGAAAGTTGTGGATGATGAGGAAGAAAGAAAAGAAGAGGTGGTTCTTGATCTTTTCCCAGGGGAGAGACCACATTTTGGAGAAGAAAGGGGGGTTGAGGAAGCAATTGGCGTCCAGGCTGAGGATGAAGTTAAGGTGGAAGAGGCCTGCACCGGCCATGAGTTACATGTGATATCTCCACCAAACTTCGAGGAGCTGCTTGGCAAGGACCCATTTGCAGTGTCTCTTTGCCAGACCAAGGCCACATCGACATGGGTCCCTCTTGGTGGAAGCGATGGTGGTCGGTCGATGCTGTCATATCTGGTTTGGGGCAATGAGACGAGAGAAGAGAAGAAGAGGTCTCGAGGGTGGAGACTTCATCTGCATCAAGTACATGAGCCTTCATCACCTGCCACACCACATGCTCGTGACTTGAGACTCCACCTCATCGACGAGAACCTCAACTTCAAGGAGGTTCTAGCATGGACCGAAACTTAGGAGCCATCGTCTGGCTCACGACGTGAAAGAAGCGCTTGTTGGGAGGCAACCCAACCAGTCGGTTTGCATTTCTTTCTCTATTTCTCCTCGGTTGAGTCAGTTTTGTTATTTGATTTAAGAGTCAATAACTCAACCTTTGTGAGATTTTGTGTGGTGTTTGTGTTCTGATTACTCTCTCTTCCTGGAATGCACTGCCTGACCCGTACATCATCATTCACCCTTGATCTGGTAACTTCGTTCTACCCTCCTTATCTTTCCTCCATTGAGGACAATGTCGTGCTTAAGTGTGGGGGGGTGTTCGATTATGTATGCGGGTGAATGTTTGGCTGTTTGTGTGCTTGGAGCCTAGTTCACTGTCCAAATTTTTAAATTTGAGGGCTCCAAGTATGTGTTTCCTTGCAAATTGCCTGCTCAGTATGCTTTGAATTGACAGTCTCTATAGTAATGTGCAACCTAGGGAGGTAGTGTAGCACTATGGAGGATGTTGAAGTATAAGATTTTTCCTATCTAGCTCTCTGTTGTGCCAGTTGATTTTGTGAATTAGTGGAGCTAAGACCGTTGAATTCATGTGGTAATGGTGACTCTGTTTGGATTATGTTATGGACTCGTGTATCGAACAGGGTGCTCATATGGAAAATGGGAAGCAGTTGGTCCTCCATGTCAAAATCATTAAATCTTAAACATGGGGTAAGCCCAACGTGTGCGGCACCGTTCATTGCACAAAATCGGGTTTTGGAAGAGATTTTTGTGATCCTTAGTGGGGTACTCCTACAAGGTGAAGCTAAGTTGTCTCTAGTACAAGTAAAACTTCCACCCGTTGAACGGTTTGCCTACTTGAGGATGTGTTTTTAAGGGCACGGATAGAGCTTCCGACCCCCCTTAATTTCATTGACCCTCCACACGAGTTGAGGAAAAGGAGTTAAAAGAAGTACTCTGGCGAGCTCCAGATGTACAGAAATTGCTCTTGCTCGACTAATAAGGGTCGACCGTGCAAAAGAAGTACCCGTTGAATTCATGTGGTAATGGTGACTCTGTTTGGATTATGTTATGGACTCGTGTATCGAACAGGGTGCTCATATGGAAAATGGGAAGCAGTTGGTCCTCCATGTCAAAATCATTAAATCTTAAACATGGGGTAAGCCCAACGTGTGCGGCACCGTTCATTGCACAAAATCGGGTTTTGGAAGAGATTTTAGTGATCCTTAGTGGGGTACGGTCCTCCATGTCAAAATCATTAAATCTTAAACATGGGGTAAGCCCAACGTGTGCGGCACCGTTCATTGCACAAAATCGGGTTTTGGAAGAGATTTTAGTGATCCTTAGTGGGGTACTCCTACAAGGTGAAGCTAAGTTGTCTCTAGTACAAGTAAAACTTCCACCCGTTGAACGGTTTGCCTACTTGAGGATGTGTTTTTAAGGGCACGGATAGAGCTTCCGACCCTCCTTAATTTCATTGACCCTCCACACGAGTTGAGGAAAAGGAGTTAAAAGAAGTACTCTGGCAAGCTCCAGATGTACAGAAATTGCTCTTGCTCGACTAATAAGGGTCGACCGTGCAAAAGAAGTACCCGTTGAATTCATGTGGTAATGGTGACTCTGTTTGGATTATGTTATGGACTCGTGTATCGAACAGGGTGCTCATATGGAAAATGGGAAGCAGTTGGTCCTCCATGTCAAAATCATTAAATCTTAAACATGGGGTAAGCCCAACGTGTGCGGCACCGTTCATTGCACAAAATCGGGTTTTGGAAGAGATTTTAGTGATCCTTAGTGGGGTACGGTCCTCCATGTCAAAATCATTAAATCTTAAACATGGGGTAAGCCCAACGTGTGCGGCACCGTTCATTGCACAAAATCGGGTTTTGGAAGAGATTTTAGTGATCCTTAGTGGGGTACTCCTACAAGGTGAAGCTAAGTTGTCTCTAGTACAAGTAAAACTTCCACCCGTTGAACGGTTTGCCTACTTGAGGATGTGTTTTTAAGGGCACGGATAGAGCTTCCGACCCCCCTTAATTTCATTGACCCTCCACACGAGTTGAGGAAAAGGAGTTAAAAGAAGTACTCTGGCGAGCTCCAGATGTACAGAAATTGCTCTTGCTCGACTAATAAGGGTCGACCGTGCAAAAGACTGCAGTTGGAACCCCACTAAATGAAAGAAAAAATGTAAATGAAAGTGAGAAAAAGGGGTTCCAACGGTGAAATGAAGTGAAAGAGCATCCCGGTACAACGAATCCTTGGTTGTGAAGGGTGTGAGTCTCTTTATCCATGAACTGACTGTCTTACTTCTACTTTTTCTCATGATCCTAGCTTGAGTCTAGTACTCGCATTGAGAGAGATAGGGAACGTCTTAGAAGACCAGTTGACCTCGTAAACTGCTATATGATCTAGGAAATCCTCTACCGACGATCGGGGTTGTATGTTGCTATAGAGCTCTGGAGAGCTGCATTGGTTTGAGTTAGGTTTGCTTGGGGACAAGAAAATAGTTAAGTGTGGGGGGATTTGATGACTCGGTATTTGCACATGTTTTCCCCTTTGTTTCTTGATTGTTTGAGCTTGAATTATCGTGTCTTTGGCCTATTTTACGCTAGGTTGTGTTCCTTTGTCACATTTCAGGTCCTAGCACATAAAGTGAAGCATAGGTGCAAGATTCAAGTCAATAAGAGATCAATTGACGATTCGGGAGAAGAAACTTGGGTATGACCTGAAGAAGAATGGATTTCTACCTCAGTTTATGGACAAATAATCATGCAATCTTATCATGAAAAGAAAGAGGACGAGACTACGAGCGTCTGGGATCAAACGGCGACTGATTCGGAGTCCGGACGAGGGAGAAACGAAGCATTAAACAGAGGCTGAGCAAGCCACACGGGCACAACCCACACGGCCGTGTGACCTGGCCATGTGGCCGTGTGGAAATCACCGAGCCTTCACACGGGCAGCTGGGAAAGCCACACGGCCGTGTGGCCTAGCCGTGTGAGTCGGGAATTGCTGTTTAAAACCCGATTTTCAGCAAAAGGAAAGGGGGAGAGCTGGGTTTTGGATCCCAAACACCCAAGGGGCGAACCCTAGAGAGAGAGAGCGACTTGAGAACGTTCTTGGAGCTATTTTGGAGGATTTCTTCGCCATTGAAGCTCGGGAATCAAGCTTGGAGATGGAGATTGAAGATCTAGATCAGATTTCTGCAGTCTCTCTCTTCTCTATGGAGTAACTTCCTTTCACTTAGGTTTTGAGGAACCCTAGTTCCATGAGTTAGGATCTTTCTTGTATGAAGTTTTGGATGCTTTATTGTTTGATTATAATCGAATGATGCATGTTTATTGAGTCAATTGAAGTCTGATAAACTTTTCCTGATTCCTGCTGCAATCTGAGATAGATAGAATCTGATTAGGTTGCTAGAGTCTCATCATTCGGTAGTAGGAGATTGGCTATACGAGAGTTAGCCAGTTTACTGCTTTGTACTGGAATCCAATTCCAGTAGTGGAGTTCTGTGCTTATTGCTTCAGCTTTCTATCCCGGTGAAGACTAGTCGTCTGCCGGATAGTTCGACTGAGAGGGTTTGGTCAGCTTAAGAGATTCCAAGCTACTGTCGGATCTTCCGCAGTTTAATCAACAGTAAAACAACCAAAAGGAATTACAACTTGGACCTAATTGAGGAGCTAGGGGGAATCATACCTAAGTGAGTTCCCAAACTGTAATTAGTAGTTTTACTTAGTTTAGTTAGTAGAGTAGTTTGGTTAATCAATCCTTAATCTAGTTTGCTAGATAATGAACTGAAGCTGAGTAATAGTAACTCTAGAGACCCGTGGATTCGATATTTATTACTTGTGCCACTATACTGCAGTCTCTTTCATTGGTTACACTTGGCCATTGTTAGGTGTTGTGTTTTAGCGTGTCAACCTACAAGTGTGGTTGTTGTTTGTCTTACGAATGAGCCAAGCCCCATTTCTTTTAACATATGCCGCCCGAACATGCCACATGCATCCGTCGCCATGGTTCTCGCAACGAACATAAATTTGTTTAGTGTCAGAAGTGATGACACGATATTGAAAGCTTCTTCGCATAGCAGTTTCTTTCAATGCATCGACCACCTGAGGCTTTCCTCCAAATGTTTGGCCAACCACGAATCCAGAGTCAGGAGTTCATATTGGTATAGGAGGGAGGTCAGGATCGTCGTTGTGAGCATAGAGAGGATGTTGTGGCACCATCGTGTAGTGAGGTGTGGGGGGCTCAAATTCCCCCTCATCAAATTCCAGATCTTCACCATCTGAACTACTCATTGATTCTAACTCTTCATCTTCCATGTCGCTTGCCTCGCTAGTGTACGGAGGACTTGGTTTATCCACATATGGATCATTGTTGATGCCAGATGCTGGTGTAGATGCTTGTCTGGGTGACTGTCTGGGTGCCCTTATGTAATCCCATTCTTCACCCCATACTGGCCACTCCTGTCCGTCATGTTCCACCAATGGACCAGTTGCAGTTCGATCCTCGTATGTTGGCCATGGTGCATCATGCCGCACTCTGAAATCTCCTGAACCGGAAAACCCTCCCGATCCTTCACCGTGTTCGGTATAACCGCCGCCACCATATTGGCCAAAAACTTCTGTTTCGACATACACCTCAGCACTTGGAAATCTGTTCTCTGCAATAAATCTCACCATCATATTAATGTCATCACCGTCAGACAAAACTGATCCTTCATATACAAGTGCATAATCCTTGTAAACCTGCATACGGTAAGTCATCTTGCATACTCTTCGCCCTGCTATGCAACATCATTCAGCACAAATATGACTGAGTTCTTGCCAAGTAAATATGCTCTCAATCCGGACAATACTTGATTCACCATCTTCGTAGTCAATACTATCATGAAAGTGTGTAATTCGACCATTCCACCGAATCTTTAAGTCGAATTTTCGAAATTTTCTACCCATTTCTGCAGTTTATACAAGCAGCTCATTACATACAGTACAAACAATACTAAATTAATCTAAAATTCTAATATGCTCATTCAAACAAAGTAAGCAGAACTTACCTCCAAAATTTTTCTTCTTTGCTCAGCTATGGTGCTCCAGCAGCTGCAGTTTGTGTTTGGAAGAAAGAAGATAGAAAGGAAGAGTGCTGCCAGAAAGTGCTAAGTGATGGCTTTTATTTATCGTAAACTGATGGAGTGGTTCGAGTCCAATACACTCGAACTACACTAGTTCGAGTTCATTAAACTCGATCTATGTCGACCAATAATTTCCCCCCTGCGCCCTATTCTGGCGCATGTCGGATAGAAAGCGACTGGACAAAATGATTGAGCAAGTAGTTCGAGTTTAGTGTAATCGAACTACACTAGTTCGAGTCCCTAAAACTCGATCTATGACAACAAAAATCTTATCCCTGCAACCCTATCCTGAAGCATGTCTGTGGGCCAGTAGTTCGAGTCTTAAGGCCTCGATCTAGTGCAGACTAAGATCGAGTGCGTTAAAGTCGTTGCACTACATCGAGGTTTTAGATGTCGATCTTATTTGATCGAGTTTTCCATACTCGATCTACTAAGATCGAGTCCCATGTCATCGATCATAGTTGTTCGAGTCCTCCAAAGTCGAACCACTGTTGATCGTGTGTTTAAAACTCGATCCGCTTTTAGTTCGAGTTTCTTATCGTCGAACTGGTGAGTAGTTCGAGTCCCATAAACTCGAACCCTTTGAAACTTGGGTAGTTTGGGAAAATTTTATAAAACTTATGTATTCAGAGAATTATGTATAATTTTTGCTATATTCTGGGAATTCTTCCCCTAATAGTCAGGCTAACCACCCCCATTCTTTCCCGCTCAGGCTGATTATACACCACTGCCGAAGACTAGAGAAAGTACGTGAACAATTGACTTTGAAAATATGACGCATTCTTTCCAGCTCAGGCTGATTATACACCATTACCGAAGACTAGAAAAAGTAGGTGAACAATTTCTTTTCCGGTCTCTATAAACATTTTATTCACGCTTTGTGTCATCTTCAAGCATCACATCTTATTAGAGGTGGCAATTGGATCGGATTCGTGGATTGGATTGGTGGATCCATGGATCAAATGGATTGGATCCAATGGATTGGTGGATTCATGGATTGGATCAAATGGATTGGTGGATTGATACATGAATCCAAATGACATCCAAGGCTTGGACCAAAATGTAAATTTTGAAAAGTTTAGGTACTAAAATGTCATAATGAAAAAGTTTAGGTACCAAAATGTAATTTTCCAATGATATTTTTCGTATAAAAATATAAATTTTAGGTACCAAAATGTAAAATATAAAAAATATAGGTACCAAATCGTAATTTGCCATTTGGATCCATGGATTGATCCATGAATCCACCAATCCAATTGGATTTGGATCAAATGGATTGGATTTAAATGAATTGGATTAAGTGGATAATTTGGTGGATGGATTGGATTGGATTCATGGATTTGGATCCTAATTGCCACCTCTACATCTCTACATCTTATTGTAGATTCTTTCTTATCCATTCCTACTCTTTCCGAAAGTGCTCCAGTGTTGAGATTTCTTTTTGTTCCCAACTTGACTTTTTTTTAATGGCGCAAATGAGAACCAGTGAACCACTATTCTAATTTCTATACCAAAAGAGAGTTGTTCTTCTAGGAATTGGTTTATTAATTTTTCAACTGATATTTCGGTACGGTAAGATCCCGTTATTTTTTACTGACTTAAGAGTTAAGTGTGATTAGCCTTATTCGTGTAGAAATTTCTTCACAGAAAGAAAACATACAAAGCCACGACCCCGACCTATAAATCCACTATCATAAAGCGAGGAGTTAGAGCTTGCTTTTATTTGTATTTACTATTTATATGGTTAAAAAATGCACACTTAATCTTACGCCTAGGCACGTCTAGGCGCAAGGCAATGACAAAACGTCTCGTTTTGGGTTTCACGCCTAATTAGATACTAGAATACGTCAATGGAGTAAGGCGATATATAAGTCTCTCTTAAACACAACTAGATGGAGCTAGGAAGTCAATATTAAAGGAGAAAATTAACATCAACTACGAAATCAATTTTCTATATCAATACTTTCAATAGCTCAAGAATTTGTGACTATTGAGCTATGATTCTATGAATTCTAGAGCTATGTTCTTATCATTAAGACCCTGTTCACTTCCATTTTCGTTTCCTGTTTTCATGTGATAAATTTGGCAACTGAAATGAGAAAACTTGTTTACTTTTCATTCTGTTTTCTATTCGTTTCCAACTATGAAAACAGAAAGTGGCAACTTCCTGCTGTTTTCGGAAATGACAAAATGTTGTTTTCACCTATTTTCAACATCTGTTTTCTCAAAAACAGGAAACAGAAATGAAAGTAAACAGGGTTATTAATCATTTTAACTGAAGTGATGAAGTGTTGTAAATTATTATTTCATTCATCATGTAGTGTGAATAGTTTTTTTTCCCGAACGCCTAGGCACGCTTAATCTACACCTAGGCGAGCTAGGCGCTAGGCAAAAACTCAACGCCCGTATTATGTTTAGCGCCTTTTTGAACCTTATTGAGGAGACTACCTTAACATAGAGATGAATATAACCCTAATTGTTCTTTCTTTCTTGTAAAAACCAAGGTGATTTCGGGAAAGTCATTCAATTCAATGACAGATCGACCGTTGGATTGCTTCCATTATTGAACGCCTAATAAGCACTTTGTGAGCATCTTAACCGTTGCTGACCGATCGATCTATTGGCCTTTGAGCATCCAGAAATTTCTGGTCCATGGACCCACACCTCGTGAATGATATGATATGCACCACTCATCCACATTGCGTTGCCTCTACGGCTCTACGCACGCGTTGAGAAAGCGTCCTCCAAAATAGCCGTATCCCGTAAGGTTCCCTCATCCAATCACAGCCGTCCGCTTACTCCGTTACCCCCATCTTCCACCGTCAACGCGTGAACAAGAAAGGGTAATATAGTAATCCGTCAAATCCAACCGAGTCCATTCGAGAAGCGGTTTACAGGCTGAACCGGTTTATCCCGACCGACAGCGACTCTCGCTATCTCCCACTATATAAACCATCCCCCGCCCTTCCTGCTTCTTCATATTCGCATCCTTCCGAGTTCAGGACAAACAAGCTTCCTTCCAACGCACGCAGTTCTCCGCCAGGTGAGTCGGTCTTCCCCAACTCGCTCGCTTTCTCTTTTCCACCAATAATATATTTCCTTCCTTCGCTCTGCTTGTTTAATATTAGCGATCAATCTTCAGTCCTTGTCATCTTTGATCATCTCGTTCCTTGGTCGATTTGGAGCTTTGAATTGTGTGTTCAAATGATCGTATATGCTTAAACTACTAGATTTGTCATGTTTTCGTTTCTCTCCGATTGTTAGCTGCTTTCATCGTATAAAGAAATTGTTAGAGAATTGTTAGATCCTCCTATGCTGATCAGTATGTTGGTTCCTTTTCCTCTGCGAATTTGTTTTGCTGATAATCTGTTCGATGAAAAGCCGCTCCCATTGAATTTCATGGGCACGTTTCTCCTGCTGCTAACGAACCTTATTTCTATGATTTGTTCCGCAGAGGAAACAAGTTCTAAAACAAGCAAAGTACATGGTTGAACTAGACTTCCAGATCCCCTCTGCTATCGACCCCTTTGCCGAGGCCAAAGACTCGTCGGGAACGAAAGCGAAGGTGCACATCAGGGTGCAGCAGAGGAATGGGAAGAAGTGCCTGACCACGGTCCAGGGGCTGCCGAAAGACTTCAGCTACGAGAGGATACTCAAGGACGTGAAGAAGGATTTCTGCTGCAACGGCAACGTAGTGAATGACAAGGAGCTGGGGAAGGTTATTCAGCTCCAGGGCGACCAGCGCAAGAACGTCCAGGCCTTCCTGGTCCGTTCCAATCTCGCCACCAAGGACCAGATCCAGATTCATGGTTTCTAGGCCACTCTAGCCGCTCAGTCTGTGTGCTTTGATTGAATGTTGCCCGCCCTATAATAGTGGTTTGTGATAGTTGTTGAATAACAGCCTTGTGCTCGATTGTGTTGCTCGTTCCGCTTTTTGGTTTGTTTTGTTTTGTTTTCCCCGATGGGGTTGATGACATTCGAATGTAACGTTTCTCAAGATCCGTTAATAATGGTTCAACTGGTTGTCTCCGGATTTATGATTCCTTGCCTTGCCTTTTCTTTGCTTTTTAACGCTAAGCATAACTATTTATTAGAGGGCGCATCTGGTGACTAGGGGTGCTTTTTAATTTTTTTTTTTTTTGACAAAGGGACACTGGGCCAAACGTTACAACAGGTGGGAGATCACATCCAGAATCTGAACCCAATTATTGGGAAGAGAATTCCTGGCACATGATCGGGCAACCCAGTTAGCTTTTACATTGTTCTTACGGCCAAAGTGCGCTACCCGTACAAGAGGGAATCTGGACAACAGCTGCTTGATAGTGCTGATCCATGCCGCAGCTCTCCAAGGCCAATTCTTCTGGTGGTCCTGCACTGCATTGATTAGAGGCAGACAGTCCCATCGGACAACACAGGTGAATTGGAGATCAACAGCGAAACGACACCTAGCCAGCAGGGCTTTGGCTTCAGTTTCAAGTGGGGAAAAACAGTGCACAGTCTCAGCTTTACCGTCGTAGACTTGACCATGGCTGTTCACAACAATGACGCCATATGCCGCCTCCTGGGAGTCGCTGAAAAACGACCCATCGCAGTGTATCTCAAAGTCATGAGTACTCGGCGGTGGTAAAGAAAGATCCGGTGATGTGTTGGGCTGAGATGGAGTGGTAGAGGAAGTAGGCAATCTGGGGCAGGTAATCCATTGATGCAAGGCCAACGAGGCTTTTGCAATCGTACCTGGTGGCCAGAGAGGGGTGCCCCTGAAGATCTTCTCATTCCTAGCTTTCCAGACCTGCCAAGTGAAGAAGATGATATTCTGGACAGCTTGCAAAGGGAAGCTCGGCATTAGCGCCGATAACCATTCCAGAAGGGGGGTTCCCTGAGCAGGGAGAGGCAAAGTGGGCCACTCCTGTCTCCATCCTTCTGCTGCATGATGACAGGTGAACAGGCAGTGGTGTATGGTCTCTGCTGGGTCATCACAAAGAGGACAGGTTTTGGATGGAGAACACTTCCTCGCATGGAGGTTGTCCTTCGTTGCCAGTGCACCCTTCGAGCTCTTCCAAATGAAAAATTTCAGCTTGGGGGGAATGGACAGGCTCCACAGCCATTTCCATATGCTTTTGCTGGCCTCAGAGATCCCTCCATTCGTTCCTTGCGGAGGTCTGGACTGGTTATGAAACAGGTGGAAAGCTGACTTCACGGAGAAGGAACCTTGATCAGTGAAGCGCCATGCCCAGAAGTCTTCCAGATTGTCCGGTCCAATGGGTATGGCCATGATTTGAATCAGATCCTGGGGGCTCAGGAAGTCCTGCAGAAGCTCAGTCTTCCATTCCCTTGAAATACCATTGATCCAGGAATCAACAGTGGCCTGGTCCGGCCAGTGAAAGTCCAGGAGTGAGCCTGCTAGATCTCTTCTCCAAGGATCATGAAAGATCTTGGTAGACTTTCCATTCCCAATGACCTTAATGACCTCAATCTTCATCCACTTCTTTGCCTCGCACAGGCTGGACCAAATCCAGGATGCCTTTCCCCCTTTCTTAGAGCTCAAGAAATCAGAGTTTGGGAAGTAAATGCTCTTAAGCACTCTGACCCAGAAAACATTTTTATTGGTAAGGATCCGCCAAGCTTGTTTGGCAAGCAATGCCAGGTTGAACGTATGAAAAGGTCTGAATCCCAGTCCCCCTTCTTCTTTAGGAGCATAAAGGACCTCGCCTGCCCTCCAGTGTATGGTTCTTTTACTCATCGTGCCTCCCCAAAAGAAATTCCTAAGCATAGAGTCCATCTTTTTTGTTGTTGATTTAGGGAGAAGGAAAAGGCACATTATATAGGCAGGAATGGCCTGGAAAACCGCTTTCAAGAGAACCTCTTTTCCCCTAGGTGATAACAGCAAGCTTTTCCAAGAGTCACCTCTTTTCTCCATTCTTTGCAGCAGGAACCTGAATGTTTCCCTCTTGGATCTCCCCCATTCAGTTGGGATCCCCAGATAATTGGAGTGGCAGTTGGTTGAGGCAAAACCAGCAGCTTGGATAATTGTTGCTTGTTCAGGGATGGGGACATTGATGCTGAAAAACATTGAGGATTTATCCTTGTTCACTTCTTGTCCAGTAACGACTCCATAAACCCTAATGATGTCAAGGATCTTCCCTACCTCAACAGTGGAAGCTTCACCAAAAATCACAGTGTCGTCAGCAAACAAGCAATGTGTGAGGGTTGGGCAGTGTCGATTGATTTTGATCCCTTTGATGTCGTTTGACAGCGCTGCTTTCTCAATGAGGAATGAGAGTGCATTAGACATGAGAAAGAACAGCAGAGGGGAGATTGGGTCCCCTTGACGAATGCCTCTAGAGGGTTTGAAGCTTTCAGAGGGTTCCCCATTGAAGAGGAGGCTGAAGTTAACTGTAGAGATGCAGGACTGAATCCACTCACACCAGACATTACTGAATCCATAGGCTCGAAGAAGATTGATCAGCAAGTCCCACTCGACCAGATCATAAGCCTTCTTCATATTTAATTTCAGCATCATTTCCTTTTTCTTCCCAGTCTTGTGATGTTTGAAGTGATTGAGAACCTCGTGAACAATGACAATATTGTCTTGGATCTGCCTTCCTCCTGTGAAAGCTGACTGAAGCTCATTTACAAGCACTGGTAGCCAGGGCTGCAGCCTATTAGACAGAATTTTCGTAATTACTTTATATCTGAAGTTACAACAGCTAATTGGTCTGAACTGGCTGATCATTTCTGGAGCATCAACCTTAGGGATAATTGTAATGAACGTGTCATTCCAGCCAGTTGGCAAAACTCCTGTCTGGAAAAAGCCAGAGACTTCTTGGCAGAACACATCCCCAATAGAGCTCCAGAATTTCCTGAAAAACAAGCCCGGGAACCCATCTGGTCCCGGGGCTTTATTGGCCCCAAGCTGGAAAACTGCCTTCCGGATCTCAATATTGTCCACAGGGGCACACAGACCGATATTCATCTCTTCCGTGACAAGGCAAGGGAAACCTGTCAGAAGTTCCAAGTTCATCAGATCATTCCTGCTGGTGAACAACTCGTGGTAGAAGCCAATGACATGATCTTTCACCTCCCTGGGGTTCGAGACCCAGTTGCCTTCATGATCCCTCAGTTTGAGAATTCGATTCCAATTCTTTCTTTTGATAGTGCTTGTATGAAAAAAACCAGTATTCTGATCTCCTTCCTGCAGCCAAGAAATTCTTGATCGCTGTGCCCAGAATGATTCCTCAGAGCTCCATAGTTGTTCTAGTTCCCTATGGAGGTTTCTTTCTTCAGTAATAGTAATATGAGACCTGTGACTTCCTTGAATAATCTGAATTATGTGTCTGATCTCCTTCTCTCTCTTCTGTCTGGCTATTCTGTCATTTCGAGCCCAATTTTTCAGATCATTTTTGCAATGATTCTATACATCATCCACCGTACCTCCATCTTGCCATCTCTTGATAATCAAATCACAGCATTCCTCACTTTCTCTCCATCTCTTATCAAATCTGAATGGGGTACATCTATCCTGTTTCTTCGGATGCAGGTCAATTCTGATTGGGCAATGATCGGACTCCACAAAGTCCTCATGAGTGACTGAGGCAGCTTCAAACTCAGTTCTCCAGGATGTTGAGCATAGTGCTCGGTCGAGTCTTTCCCTGATCAGATCAGCCCCCTGTTGCTTGTTGGTCCAGGTAAAAATCTGGCCGGAGAAGCCCAGGTCGATGAGGGAATTCCGATCAATAAAATACTTGAAAGGTACAACATTTTCATTTCTAAGTGGGCAGCGCCCCTGTTTTTCGACCCCCTACAATTCCAGCTCAGTATTCTCATTCTTGAAAAGGTGGCTTCAGGCTTGCCGCCGCCGCCCTCGGAGTGGCAGACTCGCCTTCTCCGGACTGGCATTCGTCCGCCGTCAGCTCGGCCAGACTCTTCTTTCTGGTAATGTGCCTCCTCCTTTGGTAAATTTTCCTGTTCTCTCCTGGTGAAAAAGACAGACATTCAAAAGAGACATTAGATGGGGTTTCCTGTTGTGGAAGGGGGTTAATCTGACTGCTCTATGTTCGGGCTTCCTCTTCTTCTCATGCCTGGCCTGTTCCTCTTCCTGGGTCTCCTCTCTGGTTTCTGGAATTTGGACTTGGGTTTGGGCTTGATTCTGAGGTATCACTTGGGCTTCCTGTTGCGAGACAATCTGTGTGAGTGATCCTTCAGTTGCATTGTAGGATGGGCTCGCCAGGGTAAGAGTCTGGCCCATCTCATACAGGCCCGCTAAATTCTCTGTATTGGTCACTTTCCCGCTTAGGTCGAGACTCTTCTGCATCGCCTTTGTCGTAGCCTCCATTTCCATCTCCAAGAAAGCGCTTTGCAGAGTGATTGTCGGATTGACTTCCTCCCCTCTGAAGTTCCAGTCTGTCCCTCTGCCAGTTCCCGTCAGAAGGGCATACCCAGGTGGGTACAGGAAAGGGCCCTGCAGTGGGAGGCCCGTGAGAGTGACTTGTGAAGATTCGCCTTGGGATCCTCTGATTTGTTTGCTGGCAGGGCCTTGGGGGATCATTCGCCGAGCCGCCGCCTGCTTCGCCCTGAAGGATGCCGGCGGGATATTTGCCGGTGAGTCATGGCCGGCTCTGAGGGCGTCACTGTAGACTTCTGATGGGTCTGTGCACAGTCCTCTTCTCCTGTGCTCCTCCCTCTCCTTGCAATTGTGAATCAGGTGCCCTAACCTTCCGCAAAAATAGCAGAGGTCCATGATTCTCTCGTATTTGAAACTGACCCAGATCGAGCGATCTCCCACTGGGTATTCAAAACCTATTGGAATGGGCTCGTCGATACTGACTTCCACCTTGACTCTGATGAACTTTAGCCATCCTCTGAAGTCAAAATTTGACTGATCAATGCAATGGAATTGGGGGAATATGGAAGCGGCCACTGCTTGCACTGCCTCCTCGTCCTTCAGTGACTGTGGGAGATCATGCATTTGGACCCATAGGGTAACCGTATGGATGTCGGTATCCTCCGCCTTCTGCTCCCCGTCCCACTTCTTCAGGGCAATGAGCGTATTGCTCAAATTCCAAGGTCTGGCTTCCCAGACAGCATCACGTTGTTTCTCGGACTGGAAGGAGTACACAAACAGATTCTCAGCTTCTTTCGTTGCCTGGACCTCACCATACGCCCTCCATTTGTTAACAGCTGCATGCTTGGCTTTGGGCAGATTGATGCTGGCATCCGTGATCCATTTGCCTAACAGCATGGCCATTCCGCTCCCTCGTGCTCCAACCACTGTGGGTCGAACATTCAGCACCAGATGGCTCCTCTCTCCTCTCATGTTCCTGGGTTGCAGTTCCATGATATCTGGGTTTTGATGGGTTAAAGGGATTTGGTCGTGTGCTTTAGGTGCGGAGCTGAGGATCTGGGTTGTTTTCGTTGGTTGTAATCTTGGTGATGGTGAGATCTTATGGGATTGATATGAGAATGGTAGTGGTGAGGTATTAGACTCCGGGTAAGCCAGCCTTTTATAGGACGATGGTGGATTGGGTAGTTGAGGGGGGGCTGTTACTGGTGTAATAAATGTGATAAGAAATGGACAGTATCCCCTTTGTGATCCTATACTCTTCTCCCCTGCCAGGTAACCTTGAATATGCCATTTATGGCCACAGCTACTCGCCGAGCTATATCCCCTGCTGGTAAGTTTCCTCCTCCTCTGAGCTTTTCTTCTAGATGGCTGCCACCAGGTGAGGTTAGAGCATTTATGTTCACCGTGCACCTTGCTTGTAAGCCCGTGTGGCTCGTGTACTCTATGCTGGAGTCCAATGATTGACTCGAGTTCACCCTTTCTCTCTGCCCCATCTGGGAGATGGCAGTAAATTCTCTTTGTCGATAGGGTCTGTTGCGCTTCCTCTGGGAAAACAGAGTAAATGCTTACCTTTCCCCCTGCCAAACATTAAACACTCTATCTCCACTCCCCTGAGTGGAATTACTCCACTGCCAGTTGATTGACTTCTTCTCAGGTGGTTTGGGCGGCGGGTTAGTCACTGCTCTGGCTTTCACTTCTGGCTTGGTTCTCCTCTCATTGGTTCTGGCGGGCGGCCTGACTGGCTCCTCTTCAATATGGTAAATCTCTTCCTTCTCCTCTACAAGATCTTCTGTTGATCCCTTAATTGAGTTGCAGATATTCTGCAGGCTGAGATTGAAAGCTCCATTAATGGCAGCTGCAAGAGTTCTTCGGCCTATGGCGCAAGAACCAGGAAAAGGGAACATGGTAGAAGGGGAAAAGGGAGAGAAAGGAAGAGAGAGAGAATACATTAGGGGAAAACTGGTTGGTTGATTTGCTGTGCTCTGTTATGGTTGGGTGCTTTTTTAATTAATGGCCGTATGTAAAATTATAATGAAGTATATAAAACGGACTTATAAACAGTAGAAATCATATAAACATATGAACAATACAAATTAGACCGACAAAATATACAAACAATACGTAACATAAAAACAATACAAATTAGACCGACAAAATATACAAACAATACGTAACATAAAAACAATACAAACTAGACCAATAAACATTACAAACATATTAACAATACAGAATATCACTATTTACAATACAAAACAATGAATTTGTATTATAAATCATTGAATAAAAGGTATACAAATCACAACATAAAGTATACAAACTAGACAAACATGCATTACAAATTACAATTGTTTGTACCATCTAGCTCGAGGCATGAATAATAATATTTGTTGTGTGGGTTGACTCGTTATCCGTTCGTCTGATCTCGTCGGGAAGGAAAGAACCTGTGGAAAGCGGAGGATGCCCCCGGATTAAATTCCGACAATCAAGTCAGTTTGTGTTTAAAGTGAAAGTTGAGAGAACAAGGTAGAGAGATAAAGTGTAGAGAGATAGTGGAAAGTGAGGAGAGAGAAGAAGTCCCTCAATGGAGAGTTTCATGCCTTTATATACTCGTAGCGACGTTCGAGCGGAGCACGTTACCGATTGAGCGCGCCCTTATTTAGTCTGCGCGTGGAGTATTTAGTAACACCCCCAACAATTGCCCCCCAAGCTGGTGGTGAGTTTCAACTCATCAATAGCTTATTATTTTTTTAAATCTTCATCGGTAATTTTGGATGGAGCCCTATGTACCCTCGGTTGCCCCCCAGCTGGTGGCGCGTTTGGCTGGCGCGGTGCCAGCTTCCTGCGTCATGCCCCCCAGTTGGTGTATTTCATTAAGCCGTTGACCGCTCTTCTATTGGAATCTCCAAGGCGCTGAGCAATTGTTTGTTGATAAAATTTCAAGGTATTGAGCACTCTCCTATTGGAGTTCTTCACACACACACACACACACACACACACACACACACACACACACACACAAGTGTGTACTCTTTCATTGGTGCGCTTGTGATAGCCGCACGATTACGTTACGGGGTTACCCCGCACGTTTAGTGCCCTTTATTGGAGATAGAGGTAGTTGAACACTCTCATATTGTAGATTTATCAATGCTCTTATCGAAGCCTTATTTGTGTGCTTCAGTCGAGTTTTATTTGTAGATTCACCAATGCTCTTCTTGAAGTCTTATTGGTGTGCTTCAGTCGAGTCTTATTTGTAGATTCACCAATGCTCTTATCGAAGTCTTATTTGTGTGCTTCGGTCGAGTCTTATTTGTAGATTCACCAATGCTCTTATTGAAGTCTTATTTGTTTGCTTTAGTCGAGTCTTATTTGTAGATTCACCAATGCTCTTATTGAAGTCTTATTTGTGTGCTTCAGTCGAGTCTTATTTGTAGATTCACCAATGCTCTTAGCGAAGTCTTATTTGTGTGCTTCAGTCGAGTCTTACATGAATGGAGGTAGTCGAGCACTCCCATATGTCGCTTGATTGAGTTTCTCATCTCCCATGTTGTTTGGTACGTCTTGCCCCCCATTAGCGCCATTAACGCTCATGAAAAATGAAAAATTAATAATGATAGAGTACTTAGCTTTACGTTGGCGAATCGGCGCTTTAAAATGACAGCGTTGTGCCTATGAAGCACAAGTCATATTAGTAGTACGCTAGTCAACTTGCTGGTCTTACTGAATGGTGGCGCGGGTTCAATTCCTGGCGTCAACGACATTATTTTTGGAGAGCTTTAATGGTGTGCCTGTTTGTAGGCTTTGCGGCCCATGTTCCGTGGGCCTGTTGTTGATCCGTGAGTTGGGTCCGTTGGACTGCGAGATGGAGTGGGGCGGAAGACATGGGTTGAAACCGGCTTTATGTCGCGGAAGTAGGTCGCGGGCGGGGCGTGGATTGGGTGTGTTGGGCCGCGTACTGGTGAGGCGGGCCAGGCTAATCCTCCGTGCCGGGTCCGGATGAGGTAAGGCGGGCCGCTAGCAGAAGTTTGGGTCGTGTTGCCGTAGTGGGGGCGGCAATTGTTTGTACCATCTAGCTCGAGGCATGAACAATAATATTTGTTGTGTGGGTTGAATCGTCATCTGTTTGTCTGATCTCGTCGGGAAGGAAAGAACCTGTGGAAAGCAAAGGATGCTCCCGGATTAAACTATGACGATCAAGTCAGTTTGTGTTTAAAGTGAAAGTTGAGAGAACAAGGTAGAGAGATAAAGTGTAGAGAGATAGTGGAAAGTGGAAAGTGAGGAGAGAGAAGAAGTCCCTCTCAATGGAGAGTTTCATGCCTTTATATACTCGTAGCGGCGTTCGAGCGGAGCACGTTACTGATTGAGTGCGCCCTTATTTAGTCCGCGCGTGGAGTATTTAGTAACACCCCCAACAACAATGTATACAAATTAATCATATAAACATTACAAACATAATAGATAAAAATGACAAACTAGAATGATAAATGATACAAACCGAATTGATACAAAATCAAAAAACATACTTACGAACATTACAAAAGCGTCCGAAAAATATAACGAAACAAACATCGCTGAAAAATCTCCCATCGCCGGAATCGTCTCCGCCGTCGTCGAGAAATTCGTCGATGACGAAAAACTCTCTCTGGGACGCACCAAAAATGGTAGCCTCTCTCTCTGGATGCACCATAAATGACAGGATGCACAAAAATGATGGCGCCGAAAATCCTGTACGACCGTAGGGAAATACTGGTTGGCTGAGGCGAGGAGGATAGAACGTGCCACTGTAGATTCTTTTAATTTTTAATTACTAAAAAATAAAATAACCCTGAATCATGCAATTACTACACTACTCTTCATTTAATTGAATTAATTAGAGCCATTAAATTTTAATAAGTTCGAATGGTTGAGATCAAATTAGACAAGTGACTATGGAACCCCATTTGTCGCCTGATATTATCCCTGTTTATTAGCTGCTTTGAAGCCTCCATAATCATCACTCATAGAGGATCCGAGGTAGAGGTGGCAATTGGATTGGATTGGTGAATTGGTGGATTCATGGATCAAATGGATTGGTGGATTCATGGATTGGATCAAGTGGATTGGTGGATATCCATGAATCCAAATGATATCCTCAACCAAGGACCAATATGTAAAATGCAAAAAGTTTAGGTAGTCATAATGAAAAATTTTAGGTACCAAAGCGTAATTTTCCAATGATATTTTTCGTATAAAAAATAAAATTTTAGGTACCAAAATGTAAAAAATAAAAATTATAGGTACTAAACCGTAATTTGCCAATGATCCATGGATCCAATCCATGAATCCACCAATCCAATTGGATTTGGCTCAAATGGATTGGATTTAAATGGATTGGATTAGTTGGATATTTTTAATGGATTGGTTTGGTGGATTGGATTGAGAATTGCCACCTCTAATCCGAGGCCTATATAATCACCTTTTGTAGGAGTTTTTGCTGGTATCCGAGATGTTAGTTCACTTACTTGGTTGATACGTATATATATCAGGTAAAGCTTGAAGAGAAGCAGGGCGAGGTCCAAAAGTAAGTGGTTGTAAGTTATAACTAGTTTTTGGTCCGCGCTTCGTAGTGATAAGAAAGAATTTATATTTAAAGTTTCATTCACTAATTTGAAAATTTAATTAGTTGAAAAATCAAATAATTATGGTAAGATATTTAAATAATATTTATGTGATATCTATATATTATGAATGAATTACGTCATAAGATTGTTTAGCTGATACATAAATCGCCAGTAACATATGGTCTAATGACAATCTAGTTACGGTAATGTATTTGTATTGCTTGTAAGTATTATAAAATAGTGTTACACAAACTTTTGGTAACGTGTGATCTAATAATAAAATTTAGTTATGGAAAGTCTTACATAAATATTTTATATGCGGAATTGAGTATTGTATGAGATAAAATATTACGTAAAAAATAAATGATCTTTCAAAATAACTGTGTAGTGCAAATAACAAAGAGGCTTATGGTGAAACTGGGTGTATCGGATACTCTTGTGATCATTACCTGTTGGAATTTCATTTTACTCGGTGAGTCGTATGCAACAGTGACATGTGGTCTAATAAAATCTAGTTACGATAATGTATTTGTAGTGTTTATAACTATTATGGATAGTGTTACGTAATCTTTGATAACACGTGGTCTAATAATAAAATCCCCTTGCAGAAGGTCTTTCGCAAATATTTAATATGTGGAATTGAGTGTATGAGATAAAATATTACGTAAAAATTGATCTTACAAAATCATTGTGTAGTGCAAATAACAAAGAGACTTATGGTGATAATGGGTATAGAGGATAAACGTTACGAAAAGTGTTGCGAAGATATCTAATATGTATTACATATAAAAAAGCTTTATGGTGAAATTGTGTGTAAAGGATATAAAATATTATGTAAACAAATAATTGATATTCATTGTTAAGAGTCCAATTAATGTGGAAAGTGAAAAAATTCCAGAAACCTCTCCCCCCTCTCTTCCCCACTCCCTTCTCCTCCAAAACCACGTCGGGCGATTAGTCCCCCCGAACCCTATCGCCGTCGTGCGACCCTTCATTCGCCAATCCTGGCGACGTGTCTCCGCAATTCTGGTGGTTGGCTATCCGAATGGATCCATTCGACGTCCTTATAAGGAGTCGATTAAGGCCATATGGTCTCTTATTCCCCCATCTTTGCTTTCCCCTTTCTGTCGAATTTTCCTTAAACAAAACTAATCTCCCTACTACAATGGCCACCGAGATTGTTGCTGTCTTCAATGACAACATCATTGCTGCAGCGGAAGAACGGGAGGAGTTGAGCCTACTGGGGAAAATTCATTGACCAGCCCTCGCTCCGGGAATTCTGCAACAGTTCCTCGGTGATTTCTGGAGATGCAACAGCCATGTGACTATATTGGCGGCGGAAGAGGGATTAACCCAATTCATCTTCTCCAATCCAGCCGATCGCAAGAGAATCCTAGACGACACTCCATCGATCGTGCCGCGGTTCTTCATTCACTTCCGTTCCTAGTGCTTGCCGACCACAGAAGTTGCTGCCGAACTTGATCGTGTTCCGCTCTGGGTCCAATTCTGGAAAGTCCGAACTACAGGTCACACGATTCTGATGGCTTGTTGCTTGGGCGCAGCTATGGGTGACCTCAAGGAAGCAGCGGTTCATGTTGGGAAGATGACTAGAGGGATTTACCTACGTGCTAAAGTGGGATTGGATGTCAAACTCCCCTTCCCCAATCTGTTTCTGCTGCCCACGAGATAGCAGTAAGGGTTTGTTCAAATCAGCTGTTTTATATGAAAAACTACCCTTGCTATGCTTTTGTTGTGGTGTGATAGGCCATACAAGCTCACATTGCACTAAGGCTGCTGAGTTTAAAGATGCTAAACTGCCATATGGAAAGCATACCCTGGCTTATGACAAAGGCCCGAAGGTGAATGAGTTCACCCTGCGCCGGAGGATGGCTCGCTTCTCCTGGAACCGCAAAACAGCCAGGTGTGTCCCTGTGATGCCTAGGCAGATCCCTGCTGCTCGTCAAAAGGATACTCTTCCATCTGCAGCTGAACATAACACTTCAGGGCTTCAGAGGCTGTCCTTGTATCCGGCTCTAGATGATGGAAATTCCGCTCAAGAGTCCGCTCCCACTCGAAAGAGAGCCCCAATGGAAGATGGGGAGATCCCCCCTCATCCAAATCATTGTGTATTGAAAACGGGGAAGAGGACATGGCTGACGATGACGATTCAATTCAGGTGGAGGAAACTGGCCTAATTCGGTCCCAACCCCCGATATGAGTATCCTAGCCTGGAACTGCCGGGGATTTGGAAAATACCTGGCACGTAGGTCCCTCCTTTATGCCGTTCTCAGTCGATCCCCTATGCTGGTGTTTCTTTACGAGACAAAATGTCGTGATAGGAAGGTCAAATCTCGTCTTAGTCACTTAGGTTTTGTTGACTCTACTTTAGTTAGTCCTATTAATACTTCAGGAGGTATGGCAGTCTCCTGGACTGCAAAAGTACAATGTACAGTTCAAATTCAGTCTAAGTCTTATTTCATAGTGAACTGTGTTCACCAAGTCTATGGTAGTTTTCTAGTTGTCTTTGTTCATTTGAGTTGTAATGAGGGCCTTCGTTATGATCAGTTGAATGAAATTTTTCATTTTCTTTTGTTGACTGTTATTTCATATTTCATCCTTGGTGATTTCAATTGCTTGTTATCAGCTGATGAAAAGAAAGGAGGACATGTTCCTACTCCCCATTCCTTGTCTATGCTGCAGGACTTTGTTCAGCGCCTCAATCTTCAAGACCTTGGTTTTCATGGTCCCCCATTCACATGGCCGAATAGGATGTCACCACAAGAACATATCATGGAACGCCTTGATAGGTGCCTTGCCTCATCCTCATCTACAGTGATCTGGGAAGGAATTCTAGTCCATCACCTATCGGACTTAGGATCAGATCACAGAGTGATCCTTCTTCAACTTCATCCAGCTGCTGCCCCAAATAAAGCTAATTTCCACTTTGACTGCCGCTGTATAGAAAACTTAGAAGCACAAGGAATACTTTCAACCGAAGGGCAGCATCCACGCAGCGACACCCGCCAATTCCAGTTACATAGTACTTTGGAGTCTGCTAGGCATCAACTCTTTTCATGGGCAGCTAAAGTTACGACAAACTCAGCTAGAACTATTCGTGAACTTAAATATGCTATCTCTTCTTTGCGGGATGACGTGTCTATTGATTGGCAAGGAATTGGAGCTTTAGAACAACAGTTGTCAGAAGCTTACCTATAAGAAGAAATTTATTGGCAACAAAAGTCTCGAATAAATTACCTTAATGAAGGAGACTCCAACACAAGACTCTTTCATCTGACAACTCTCCAATGCAGAAGGAAGAATCGTATCCTTGCTCTGCGAGATAGTGATGGTGTGTTGAGATCTGATGAGATGAATAAATGTCTGATTTCAGTTTCTTACTTCCAAACTCAATTTTCATCTGAATGCTTATAGGTTGCAGAATTTGTGGATTGCCTAGGGCTGCCCCAACTTGTTACAGCCCCCATGAATGACATGCTAGCAGCCCCAGTATCGAGAGAAGACATCCGCTCTGCTGCTTTCAGTATAGGTGGGTACCAAGCCCCCGGCACTGATGGATTCACAGGTATTTTTTTTCCAATCCTTTTGGGGATTAGTAGGCGACTCAGTTATAGCGGCAGTTCTGGAATTCTTTCAAACAAGCCACCTCTTGCCTAATTTCAATCATACTTGGATTACTTTGATCCCCAAAAAACCTAATGCTGATTTAATGAGTCAAATGAGACCGATTGGGCTATGCCAAGTCTCTTACAAGATTATTTCTAAGATTATCACAACAAGGCTAGGTGAGATCTTGCCTCGTGTGACGTGTCGTAGGTCCTTTTCAAAATGGCTTTGTCAAGGGGCGGAGTATTTCATATAATATACTGTTAGGAAAGGAGGTTATGCATTTCTTGAAAACTAAAACTCAAGGAAGAGAGAAATGGATGGCTATGAAATTAGTTATGGAAAAAGCTTATGATAGGGTGGAGTGGGAGTTTCTATTCTCTATTATGCAACGATTTGGATTCTGTGAATCATTGCTGAAATGGATTCGAGAATATGTCACCACGGTCTCGTTTTATGTTTTAATTAATAGTACTCCTCATGGTTTCTTTCATCCTGAACGTGGAATTCGACAAGGAGATCCCTTATCACCTCTACTCTATGCTCTCTTTACTGAAGGATTCTCTGCCTTACTTTCTCAAGCAATAGAAGCCCAGTATTTACATGGTTTGAAAATACATCCTCGCTGCCCGGTGATGTCACACTTGTTCTTTGCAGATGATATATACCTCTTCCTCCGTGCATCTTTGCCAGAATGCCAAAATCTACTTACTCTTTTTGCTTCCTATCAACAGGTAAGCAGACAAAAAGTTAATTTGCAGAAATCCATGGTCACTTTCAGCAGAAACATGAAAGATTCGGAAGCTGCTGTCATGCAATCCGTTCTGGGAGTAGCAACTGGAGGTCCTCAAGATCGATACCTTGGACTACCTACTAGAGTTTCCAGATCCAAACAAGAAACCTTTCAGTTCACTGAAGATCATTTAATTTCCAGACTACAACAATGGAAGTCCAAATCCCTATCTTTGTCTGCCAAGGAGACTCTGCTGAAGTCCATAGCTAATCCCTACCTAATTTTGCTATGCTTAGTTTTCGAATGACTACTACCTTTTGCAGAAGATTGAATGGTCATCTCGCGAGGTTCTGGTAGACTCAACAAGATCATACCGAAGGAATGAAATGGACGTCATGGAGGTCACTGTGCAGACATAAACATCAAGGTGGATTAGGATTCCGGGATTTCAACAGTAACAACAAAGCTCTACTCGCCAAACAAGCCTGGCGTTTATTGCAATTTCCTGACAGCTCCCTTGCTATAATGTACAAAGAGAAGTACTATCCTAACTGCAATTTCTTGCAGGCTACACCTGGCACTTGCCCGCATGGGCTTGGAGAGGACTATTAGAAGGACGAGACCTTATCATGCAGGGCATCCGGTGGCTCATTGGATCAGGCTCACTATTCAATATTACAGAAGACATTTGGCTCCCCACCACTCCGCCTTCTCGCCCCAAGCTGTTACCACATGTTGTTCTGCAGTCAACCCAAGTATCATCATTGATTAACCACTCTGCAGGCACATGGAAACTCTCTCTTCTTAAGGAATTATTTGATTACGATACAGTGAAGATAATTTGCTCAATTCCTCTTCCCTCCCTTCCGATGGCGGACAGGTTAGTATGGCATTATGAACAATCCGGTGAATATTCTGTAAAATCTGGTTATTGACTTGCAGCAGCAGAGTTTGTACGTGATCTCTCTACCATCCCTATAATCTTTGATATGAAAGCATGGAAATATCTTTGGTCAATTCCAGTGCCTCCTAAGTTAAAATTTTTCCTATGGAGAGTGAGGTTTCTTACCAGTTAGGGATGTGTTACGAGATAAGGAATTGATCGATGAAGAAGATGAGGAGGCCTTGCTTTGCCCAGTCTGTTCAGAACCTTCTGAAACTCTAAACCACTGCTTCTTACATTGTCGTTCTGCAGTGAGCTTATGGAAGTTAGCCGAATATTCACATATATTGAATGATAAATTCTATGCATATTGCTGTGGGATGACGCTTTCTCTTTTTTCTGTAGGTTTAGATAAGACAACAATTGCAAGGCTGGTTTTCTTATATTGGAGGATATGGAAGGTTAGATGCTCCTCGACGTATGATTATACCTTATTTCTACCTCACATTATCTTGAGGCAATTTGATAACCAGGTGCTGGAATGGGACAATGCACAAGCAGCTCCGTCCCGTCGAAATTGACAGCAAAATCATCATGTAGCATCATCTTCAGGCCGCTCCTCTGTTCCTCCAGCCATACCCGAAGACACTTTCCTTGTACATTTCGATGGGGCCACTAAGGAGTCCATCGGTGGTGATATTGGATTTGTTGGATTCACACAAAATTGAGTGCTCAATTTCGCCTTTGGCCGGTCTGCGGAAGTTACTGACCCTTTCCTCCTTGAATTAATGGCGCTACGTGATGCCATGCTTTGGTGCATTAATCACTCTATATCTAATGTCTATTTTTGTGGTGATGCGCAGGTACTCATCCGCATGGTCAACGCGAACGATTCAGCTCACTTATTGGGAGGTGCTATTCTGAAAGAGGTTCAGGTGCTGAGAACATCCTTCCAGCGTGTCTCGTTTCATTTCGCGCCGCGTAGGTACAATAGGGCTGCCATATCGTGGCAAAACAAGACCTCTTATCATTGGTTCAGCATCTCGTTGACCAACATTCCCTTCTTATTTCTTTTTTTATTTTGGACTGAAAAGGTCATGTATTACTCGTATCTGGCTTATTCCTTCCGGAATATCTATGGCAAAAAAAAAATTGCTATTCGAAATCATTGTTTCGTACAAATAAAAGAGCTTTTATTCGCACAAAAAAGAGCTTTTATGGTGAAATTGTGTGTAAAGAATAGAAACTCTTGTGAGAGTACCAGTTGGGAATTTTATTTTATTCTGTGACTATTTTTCATATGCAAAAGTGAAGTTGGTTGAGCTTTTAATCAAGGATTGAAAAATTATACCGGTTGTAGTGAAATAGTGAGCAGTAGGGTATTTTATGCTGAAATCGTGGTTTAACCGTAGTTCAATTGTAATACCGCTAAATACCGCCTACCAATTTTACTTCCAATAAGAGACTTTTTTGGTCAAACCACCGATACAGTACAGTTGTTTTAAACCTTGCTTTTAATTATGCGAATGATGTCAATTGAAAGTGCTGAGGATGCCTTAAAAGAAACATACATAAAGAAATTGAAAAAGAATATTGAGATGCAATAGTGCTAGCTTTCAGGCGATCCAAAAGGGTTAATGTACATAGGGCCACATGAGATTAGAACAATACTTAATTATGAACAGTGAATTGGAATTTGTTATCGTAATTAGATGAAGTAATCCAGCAAAATATTTTTTTAGTTATAGATAGAGAAAATCATAGATATTACAGGACGCTAGATATAGAGGATAAGTTGACACTTAAAGTTTACATATAATCTCAAATTAAATATATAAATTAGAGTTTATCTTCTAAGCAACTAGAAAAGTTAGAACATTGAGAGTGTCTATAAGGAGAAGGAAGAACACATATCTTGTGGAGATCTTTGACTAGATCCATCTTCTCCTTCTTGATTTAGTCATCCTTCTTCAATTTTGCAAGCATTTGGGTTTTCTTTCCTTAGCCAAAACGTATAGGAGGAAAATAGGGGGTCTGGATTCCCAGATTTCCTGGGTCTTCCAATTACAAGGAGTATGCGCCATGATATGGGCCGAGTTATTCCCAGCTCTTTTAATAAAGCTCCAACTAATTGTATCCAATCTCTGGGCCTCAGCCTGCAGATCGCGGATAACCAGCCAACCCTCCAATCTCGTTTGGTTTGTCTTCTGAAGAGCGGTAGCCACTCCCCGGCAATCCATTTCCACTATCGCCCGACCATGGCCACTCATTTCCAGCTGCCGCAACCCAAACTCCACCGCCTTCATTTCGGCGATTTCCGGCGGCCAGCAATCCTTCTCCCATCGAGTTGCAGCTCGCAGGAAGGCACCATTCTCATCTCGCATGACCATCCCAAAGCCCGTTCCTTCTCCCTTCATCACTGCATCATCAACATTTACCTTCACCCATCCTATTGGTGGCCGTTTCCAGGTAGTGACTTCTGCTTCTCGCCTGTGCTTCTCCTTTCTATGGTAGGTTGTGTATTCCTCCCAGTAGTCTAGGGCCTTCCCCACAATCTCTCATTCCTCCGCCTTCTTCCGATTGAATAGTTGATTGTTTCGCTCATTCCACATCATCCAAAGGAGAATCACGAATTGCTCCACCGTTTCATCATCAGCCCGATCCATTACTTCACACATCCAGCTGCACGATGACACCTTTGGTTCTAATTCAAATAAGGGACGGAACATTGATGGTCTCCACACCCTGATTGCCCATTGGCATTCTCTGAACGCAAGATTTTGCGTCTCCTCTAAGTGGCAAAAAGGGCACTCAGTCGCTGCTTCCTTTTTCCTGGCCTCAATGTTCTTGCCCGTTGGTAGGATGTTGTGGACTAGCTTCCAGGAAAATATTTTAACCTTCGCTGGTATTTTGATTTTCCAAAGCCTTTTCCAATTCATCGGGTCATAAACCTCCACCTCTCCTGGTACCTTCTCCTCCCAATCTTTTTCCTCTTCCACCTCGATCACCTGGTTGGTGTCAGCACTCTTCTGAGCTAGTTTGTACGCTGTCTTAACCGAATATAGTCCTGTTCTTTCATGGCTACATACTCGATCATCACCAATTGGATGTCTAGGGATTGGGATTCCCAAATTCCACTCTCGGTCAATGGGGTTGAAGTAATGCTGTAGGTAGTTATATCTCCATGTTCTGCTCTCATGGTCAATAAGATCAGCCACCACCCTGACCTCCTCTGTACCCTCCTCTGGTGTAACTACCCTGTGTCGCAACCTTCCCTTCGAGATCGGGGGATCTGTCGCGAATCGTTCAGAGTCGCCATCGATCTTATTCGTGGTGGATCGAACACCTTTTGTCCGATTCCAACCTCGAGGTCAGAATCGGGATTTGGTCTGCGAAATTTTAGAGATTTGGGGTTCGGGAGTACGATTACGTGTGGGGAATGTATTCACACCCCACAACGCCCAAAATTGGTACTACTTATATCGATAAGTTTTTAAGGGTTGGGTGTATAATAATTTGTGCCTTATTCACGTATTTAATTATAAAGATTCAATAGGTATTTATTTTTACGAGTTGATCATAAGTCTATTGACGTAATTCTCAAAATTAAAGAAAGAGTATTTGGATTAATTGGACTCGAACCTATTGGTTGCTTACGTACCCGAGTACTCGGGATCAAAGTCCACGTAGTACGGTTTAAAATGAGTGATTTGAAATGTTAACGTTTGCACGTTAAATTATTATGAAAATTTGTTAGTTGGATTTGAAACCTATTGGTTGCCTACGTACCCGAGTAGTCGGGATCAAAGTCCACGTAGTTCGGTCAAAATTGATAAATTTTGAAAGAGTAAACATAACACGTTCTATTGATCGTGTTAAAGGTATGAATTTGTAAGAAAATAATTTGATATTTTGAATTTGGTAATGGAACGATTAGTGATCCTGAACGACTTTAGTTTTGGGAGACTATCACGGTCTATTGACCATGATTTCGTAGTAAGGATTTTTAAAGAAATTAATTTTAGTGAAGATGTTAATTCATCAAGTATTAGATGCATATTGCTTTGGTGTTTAAGTGAGGTATGATCAACTGTTAGAAGTTTATCATGGACAAGGGTTTTTTACAATTTCGGGGAATTTAGGGATTTAATTGCTTTTTCTTTCTGGGATTCGAGCTTGGAATAGGAAGGGGATCGGAAATGGATGGCGGACGAGGGGAAAACAGAGCCGCCGTCGGCAGTCACAGGTCTCACCGACGGCGACGTGGACTAGGTAAAAGTCTATTGTGGTAAGATGTCTTTTATTATTTGGTTTGATGGTGGAATCAATTTTGTGGTAATTGTGGTGATTGGTTCCCAAAATCTTGTGGCTTCAAGGTAGCTTTTAATTCCGGAAAAATCATGGTTGTTTATGGGGATTTTGAATCCTGGAAATTGTTGTGATGCGTTGTATCTTTAGGATGGGATAACGGTTCACGCTTTGGGAACACGGGTTTGATTATTTGATCGGGGGGTTTCTAATGGTTTCTTTTGGGGTAGGGGTTTTTGTGGGTTTTGTGAATCTGGGATTTTGGCTTTGGTATTGTTTTGGGGTGTAAACTCTGGAAATGGGCAGTGTCTTTTATGGTGGGTTTAGTTCAAGGAATTTGGTGGCGCTCATGGTAAGCTTGTTGGATTCTCAAGCTCATGGCTTGAAAAATCAGATGTTAATTTTGTGTTTATAACTAGATTTTTATGCGAATATGGTATCTTGCAAATCTGGGTTTCCTGTGAGTTTATGGTAGTGTGTGTATTTGGATATTTATTAGCTTAGTTGTATATGTGGTGGAATGCTAAGTAAAACGACTAAAACGAAACATATGAAGGAAGCATGTATCATGTATCTTTTTACTTTTAATATGCTTAACCAATGGAAATATTGAAATGACAAGAAGAGGTAGATGTAGACAAGAAATGGTAAACCTTAAAAGGAAAAACTAAGCATGATATGGATCGTGAATGATGGTGTAAGATTAAGTGACTACCAACTTTTTGCTTGATGTTTGGGATGGGGATGAATTTCTTTACTTCTGTTCACTTTTGCTTGATGTTTGATGCCCTTCTGCTACTTTTCTGTTTTGTGTGTTCGTGGCAAAGAAGAAAGGATGTAGGAAGTGAGAACTTCCTCTCTTTTTGTTGTCTCTTTTCTGTCTGTTTGGGCTTGTTGGGATTAGGAGTAGAAGAAAAGATGTTTTATTGTCTTGTTGTCGTGGTTTTGTGGCTAAAGAAGAAGAACAAGAAGAACAAGAAGAAGAAGTGTGTAAGAAGAAAAAGAAACAGAAGAAGGAGTGGACTGCTCTCTTTTCTTGGTGAAGGGAAGTTGAAGGAAAGAGTGAAAACCGAAAGAGAAGAAGAGAGGGAGTCTGGCCGAAAGTCCCCTCCCTTCGTCTTGCAAAGGGTTCTTTTTATAAGGAAAAGGAAACTTGGTCCCCAAGTATGCTACAGTACCGGTTTCGGGTTAGACCGGTTTGGATTTGGTCAGTCCAGATCTGGTCAGACCTGATTGACTTGTTTGACTTTGGTTGACCAAGTTTACTTTGACCTTGGTTGACTTTGCACTTTGATTTGGGTTTTAACTAATAACTATGTAGTTTTTATTTTGTAATTGTAATATAACAATCATTTATTGAGATTATTAATAAAAGTTTTATTTTTATTGTATTGCCTATTGTTTCGCAAGTCGAGACCCAATCTAACAAAGCCCGACGTTCAATTAACCCAACATGGTGATTAAGGATAGCTATTGCTAAACTTGTTTGATCATGTGAACCTGATCCAAAATTTGGTTAGTGGTTAATTGTTCATTCAAAACCAAAAAATGGGAAGTCTATATAACTCCAAAAGCAAACTTAAATCGTATTAACGACTTAAAATTTGCTATTGCTTAATCTTATAAGCCACTATGAGCATACTCGTCCCCAACTTTAATCATAGACCACTCTTAACCAGTTATTTTAGTTGAGTAATTGACCCGGACAAAATGGGGTGTCTATAGTTGCCCCCTTGTATATCTCTTTATATAAAGATTTATACAAAAATCCCGAATAGACACCACATTTTCTCAGTTCAGTGGAGGATTAATTTTGTAGGTGACGTATTTTTTCGGCGTTCGTCATCACCATTGTTACATTTTCCTTGATGATGACGTAAACGAAGCGCACGTCAGCGCTAATTGTTGGGTTTTGTTTCTGATGAGGACGTAAACGAAGCGCACGTCAGCACTAATTGATGAATTTATTTTGATGGTTAATTGTTTTATGCTTATTAGCCTTGGTGTAGTATTTTTCAGGCGCTCTCCAGCACTAGTGTACTTTTCGAACGCTCACCAGCATCAGTGTCTTATTTTTCAGGCGCTCGCCAGCACCAGTGTACTTTTCGAACGCTCACCAGCGTTGGTGTCCTATTTTTTAGGCGCTCGCCAGCACCAGTGTACTTTTCGAACGCTCACCTGCGTCAATGTCGTATTTTTCAGGCGCTCGCCAGCACCAGTGCACTTTTCGAATGCTCACTAGCGTCGGTGTAGTATTTTTCAGGCGCTCGCCAGCACTAGTGTACTTTTCGAACGCTCACCAGCGTTTGTGTCGTATTTTTTAGGCGCTCGCCAGCACCAATTTAGTTTGTTTATGGAATCGTTGAGGGCATGTCTAAAGTGAAATAAGGACGAGTTCTAATTGTAAGTGAAAAACTAATGTCAAACTTTTATGAAATCGGAAACATAATTGTTGTACTTGAAATCCTGAATAATGTCAAAATGCGTTTGGAAATGAATGTTAATGAGTATGATTGTTGATATGGTGATGTTGTCTAATGAGTATTTAAATGATTGTGTGTGATGAGTCATACTAATGAATGATAAAGTCGTGAATGTTGTATGAAGAAAAAAAAATGATATGATGCATTGTCAATTGATTTGAAAATATGTTCCTTTTTTTTGCTTTTGCCTTGGGCTCCTTTAAATTGATCTTTCACAATAACTTGTGTCATTGACTTTTGTAGCCTTGAACCTTAGTTGTGCCCAATAGTGTGAGCTCTTAATTAGACTTCCTTCGGGCTTCTCGTTGCCCAAGACAGGGTTCTTCGATTTCATTAATGTAGCGTAGCATGCCCCTTTTGTCACGGAGCGGTAACTGATTGGTTGAACGCAGTCGAAGGTCCTCTTAAGATTTTTGAGATTTCTAAACTGTTGAGTTGAAAGGTTGGGTACTTTGGCTTGCGAGCATTTCAATAATGCTTCTCCTTTGAGGTAACACTATTCTTGCCCACCAAAGATCTGTCGTTCACTTTCTATTTGATGAAACAAAGAGTGACTTTATCAACCTTAACTTAAGATGAGTGCAAAAATGTATGACAAACGTGGATGGAAAAGTATCATGGGAACTTGGTGTTAAAATTTTCGATTGAGGTAAATGTGCAAGAATTGGATACAAATTCGTTGTGGTTATTGTCATGTTGCTAAAATTTGTTTTTTCAATTTTTAGTGGGAAGGGAGCATGTCAAGCCATAAGAATATCCATAAGCACTAACTCTACTCTCACTTTCGATGTCACGCTTGATTTCACTCTCACTCATCCCTAGGGGTGCTTTGAGCATATGACATTTCAGCTACCATTAAGATTTGGGTCACTATGAGAGGCCTTCTTTTATGTTGATGGTAAAATATGTTTGGGGTAATGGTTTTTCAAATGAGGGGATTCTTACGAAGTCTGATTTTGGTCTTGTGAAGTTTCTTGTAAAGGGATCTTGGCTTGCCCCCGAACTATTAGTTTAAATGATGGACCAGAGTGATCCTAATGGCAATTATCATGATTTTTTTCGAGAAAATCTTGCCTTCTCAAAAATAGTGGTGGCTTTTGGACATGCTGGGGAATGCGTTTAAAATTGCCCCCTTGTATGAGATTTTGTTTTGAGGAGGTGGTGTTAGGTAGTGAATAAATGAGGTCTTTGTGAATGTGAACTTGGCTATGGGAAATCTTATAATTGGAATTCTTGTTTGGCCCATAGGCTAAGAAGATAAAGCTCTCTTGAAGATCTTGCTTAAGGTTTTCTGTTGATATTGGTCGACAAACACTTGACTCACCGTGAATGGTAGTGGTTTCGAATGTTAATGGATGAGCCTCTAACATGCAGTCCCACAACAATTTTTTTTGCCTTTTTTTGCTTTGTTTTTTTTTTTTTGTCGTGGGACTTACTTAGCTTGGTTATGCAACAGATATGTTTCTCTCTTCCTTGTTCGGGTATTGGTATTTCTAAGCACGAGCATCAGAATGTGGAAAGTTTGTCTTGGTGATTGATAATGTGAGTGTCCTTTCTTGTTGGCTAGGTTGATTGGTTACTTCTTTCCTGAAGAGGCAAAACTTATGATGTCGTCTTCTTGTTGTACTTATTTGAATGCTTTTCTGCTTGAATATGTTGCAAGCAAAACGTTGGCTATGGTAGTGATA